ATGAATTTATGTCTAGCCTACCTTTCCTTGTATAGTCATCTCCCCATAACTCTGCAGCTTCCCTGGCTTCCTATATTCTAGTTCAATCCTAACGAAAGAAATCCCTAAATTATTCCTCCCACCAGGCTTTTTTTTTTTTTTTAAGGAAAATTGATTTTGGCATACTGTTAATTCATGTAATATTTCATAGCACCGATGCAATTAATCTGGAGGCTGCTGCTCGGGAAGGACATCAAACTGCAAATTATTTAGAGAAATGATTCCCTTTAGATCAGTATTTTTCAATCCTGACAACTTTAAGATGTGTGGACTGGCTGAGGAATTCTGGGAGTTGAAGTCCACAGTTCTTGAAGTTGCCAAGGTTGAGAAACACTACTTTAGATCATGTGTAGTAGGTAGCTCATACCCAATGGTTACATGAAACCCCTTAGCATCCCATCTGTGGCAATCTCAGCCACTTTTATTGCCAGGTTTTGAAGCCCAAAGGTTTGTGGTTATTTGAAAAGGGGAGCGTCAAACCATTTTTCCTCTTAAAGATATCCTTCCTCCATTTTCGCCACCCCAAAATGTTAAAAATTGAATATTTGGGGGTTCTTTGACATTGCATTTGGGCTTAGTTTGCCTTCTACCCCCACTTCCATTTTTTACAATCTCACAAAACTCCAAAAATTAAACTGAACTTTTTTCAGCTGCTCTTCCTTCTGCTAAGCTCACTGTGTAACCGGATGTCCTCCTGCAGCCTTGTAGAACAGTATTTCTCAATATTAGCACATTTAACATGGATGGACTCTAACTTGCATCATGAAAAATAATTCTAACATGGGCTTCATTAGAAACAAAAACAATTTACAAGAAATTCAAAACAAAACAAAAATATTTTTTTTAAAAAAACACTATAATTGCATTTTAAAATTTGTTTTATTTATATTTAAGGCTGAGAAATTAATTTGACTGTTATTTTTTAATCCTTTCCTGTAACATACTTAGCCTAGAGCTCAGTGAGTTTCTAACTGTGATGCACTTCCTCATTATTTGTGTTTCTGTTTGATTGTGTAGACTGGAGGGTTTTCCTTTGAAGCAAAGCATTCAACAATATCTTTTTATTTCTCTCATGGTGCTGCCAAGTGCAGTTCTGATTGTGAATAAATCTCCTCCTACTCCTTTGTATGGAATTTGATGTTTTCTTTACTATAAATTAAATTATTTTAATCTTCTTAGCTGACCAAAACATCTAAAATGTTGGCCATTTCCAAAAATCAATGACTGGCTTCCTTGTTAGGCATTGTCCTGTGTTGTAATATAATCAGGAACTGCATTATCGTTTATCGCAATGTTTGCTGGCTATATATTCATTTTTATGAAAAGAGCATGCAACAAACAGGTGGGCAATTCAGTCTTTCTAGAAAACATCTCATCTTAGGAACGTGGGAACGATCGACCTGGCAGCGGATGGCTCAGGTGTTGTGTAAACGCCTCTATTGTACTCTTTTCTGAGGAAACATTAATAGAAGTTCTAACACCACACCTCAAATCTCAGCTATTCACTTTTCCAAAGTGTATGCCTCTGTGTGAAACTGAATAAAGAGGCAACATTCCCAAGCTAAGTATTGTTAAGCCCTTGATAATTTTCTTGTGTGCTGCTTACACTAGGAATATATATATTCCTTTTTTAAAACAGGTGAATGGAAGGTGCCTGAGAAAAGGTACGCAATGATAGACTGAGAAGTGCTAATTTTCCTGTGATCTATCCAGAGCAATCCTGGCAGTGATTTCAGAGGTTGGGCTTTGTTACAGAAACCACAAAATATCTGGAGCTCAGTGCTCTGAGTGCAGAAGGATCTTAGCTCAATTGCTTTTGGTGAGGTAGAACATACTTTCTTGGATGCCTGAAGAACCATTACCAGACTTAAAATCTTTCCCCATTGTTGTATTGCGTGTACTCCACCGATCCTTAAGTCAAAGGACAATGATACCAGAATGATGTTTGCTGCTTACATGGCCAAGTCCTATCCTGCCTATTGCCTTTATTTCAAGCCCTTGCAGACATCTGACTTCCCACTCAAGGAGTGGAGAAATAAAATTCTATCAGATTCATGGATGTTGACTGAGGCTCATCACAGAACAGGGAGAAAGTGTTGTTTTAATGCCAGAACAGCAAAGGATGCCCTAAATCAGTGGTTCTCAACCTTTAAAATGCCGCGACCCCCAAGGGGTCGTAAGCCAAGGACTACTCAATCGGTCGTAAGTCGAGGACTACTCAACTGGTGCAGCATCGTTTGCAGACGGGGCTTTTGGCGGGCTCAGCAGGGCAGAGACAGCCTGGACAATTCCTATTGGCTTTTGAAAGCCAATAGAATTAGACTCTATTCAAGAGAGTCTATTCTATTGGCTTTCAAAAGCCAATAGAATAAAAGGGAGTAGCACAGCTAAGGAAAAGGGGGGGGGAAATGGCGGACTGTGTTGTTTGGCGACCCTGTGAAATGGTCGTTCGACCCCAAATGGGGTCCCGACCCACAGGTTGAGAACCACTGCCCTAAACCTATTTCATTCATGGGCTGAGGTTTAGATGAAGGTGTACTTGGTGCCTACTTGTACCTACTCATATCCTTAATATAAAAAGCCATTTCAGTGCAGTGGTGAAGATGTCAGCCTAAAAACCAGGAGAGTTTTAAGGTGAGTTCTAGTCCCACCTTAGATATGAAAACCATCCTGGTGACCTTAGGCCAATCACTCTTTGTCAGCCCAACTCGTCTCACAGTGTTGTTGTTGTGAGGAAACTAGGAAGAGGGGGGAATATTGTATCTATTCAGTCCCTTGAGTTATTTATAAAAAGAATAAAGCCTGGATACAAATCTAATAAATAAATGATAAATGAACATAATGTTTAGACTAGATTCGTATATACATCGGGAAAGATTGCTTATTTAACTGGATGAGCAGAAATCGTGGAAGATGAGCGGTCTCTCAAATAACTTGCTGTGAAGAGCCTTGTAAGCAAGAGCCAACATCTTTTTTTTTATTTAAAAGTTTTATAAATTTATTACAATACAAACCCCCCAACCCTTACCCCCTCCCCCACTTCCCAGAGCTGATTACAGGATAAAAAATAAAATAAACATAATCTAATTAACATTAATCAACTATACCACAGGTCGGCAACCTGTGGCTCCAGAGCCGCATGCGGCTCTTTGAGCCTTCCCCTGTGGCTCCCAGCCTCCTCTGCCTTTGCAGAGAGAGACAGAGACAGAGAGAGGCAATTGCACTTCCCTGCTTCTCTCTCTCTGTGTCTGTGTGTGTGTGTCTGGGTGTGTGTGTGTGTTGTGTGTGTGTGTGTGTGTGTGTGTGTGTGTGTGTGTGTGTGTGTCTTTGCTGCATCTCTGAAGGAAGCAGGAAGCAGGAAGGGCAGGAGAGAGCTAGCTAGCCCAGCTAGGCTGACTCAGGAATTCTGGGAGTTGAAGTCCATGAGTCATAAAAGAGACGAGGTTGCCTACCCCGGAGGTTGTTGGACAACAGCTTGAAGCTTGCCAGGTGAGCAGCAGATAGGAGGGGGGGGAGAAAGAGAGAGAGAGAAAGAGAGAGAGAGGGAGAGAGAGAGTGTGGGGGAAGAGGAGTGGCAGACCAAGGGCAGATAGAGAGGGAGGGAGGGAGAGACCCTTTTGACATCTAAAATGAAGATAACACTGCATATATCCTTTTTTTACCTGTGTGTGTATGTAATTTTATTCTCTTAAAGCATTCTCTTGGTGATCATTGTTTTAATAGTATGGATATTCCCAAGAGTCATATTTTTACTTTTATTTTTAATGTGTATATGTGTGTGTGTGTCTGTGTGTGTGTGTGTGTGTACACACACACATATACACATACACATACACACACACACACACACACACTCATATACATACACACACCTATAATAAAGGTAAAAAAGGATATATGCAGTGTTATCTTCATTTTAGATATCAAAAGGGTTTTGCGACTCCCAGTGTTTTGTTTTTGGTGGGAAACGGGTCCAAGTGGCTCTTTGCATGTTTTGGGTTGCCTACCCCTGAACTATACTATCAATCAAAACCATAACACATTTTAACTCCCCCAACAAATATTAACAAATTAAGTCAAAAATAGTAAAATAATTAAAACTAATAATAATTATCTAGAATCTACTCAAAAGCAAGATAATACTTTTCAATCTCATATTTCTTCTGAATATAATCAATCCATCTTCTCCAAACCATAATATATTTTTCTTGTGAATGATCCTTCAAATAGGCGGAGATTTTCGCCATATCTGCTAAATTAGACACTTTAAGTATCCATTCTTCCAAAGTAGGCAATAAGTTTTTCTTCCAATATTGCCCCACCAATAATCTTGCAGCTGTTATAAGGTTCAACATCAAATTAATTTCTTTAACATCAAAATCTACAATAATACCCAACAAAAACAATTGCGGAGTAAACTTTATTTTTCTCTTAAAGCAACAGCCAACACCTTGAATTGTACCCAGAAGCCTACTAGCAGCCAGTGTCACTCTCAGAGCAGGAGTATCATGTGGTAGGTCGGAGAAGTTGCGCCTTTCCAGATTTTGTAACTTTCAGTAATATCTCTTTTAATCTGGCCAAGGTGACCGTAAGTAGAAAACTAACCTTGGCTTCCTTTTCTGTTCTTGTTTGGTGTTTCTAAAATCTCACCTTGTCCTTAAGTATTTCACTTCAAGACAGCTTGCCAAGAGTTTGTCAGGAAAGAGCAAATTTGCGCACCTGGCCATTAGGGTTTCTCAATATCTCTGCAGTGGAGAAGGAGACTGGAGGGTAGCACCGGAGGATAATAGAAAGAGTATGGACAAGGGTGGTGCTGGACTGGAAGGGAGGGAAATAAAACAATTCCACGATATTAATTGACATTGTTTGGTGATCGGGTTTCAAGATAAGGACAATTGGAAAGGCTTGAGGAATGTAGAAAGATAATGCTTGAGAGAACCTCCTTGTTGAATTTCCAAATGCCTCTTCTGAAAAAGAATGAGAAAGAAATAAGAAACGAAGCAAGCTATATAAGTAATATTTAGCTTCAGAATAGATTGTTTAGTTTGTATTTCATAAGCCTGGCAGTCAAAGGAATGAAGAAACTATATATTTTGAGGCTCACAAAACCTTTGCTAAAAGCTATTTAGAGCCATGAAATCTTCCCATTTCTACTTCAGATGCTCTCAATGGATAGGAAGACTGATCCATTGAAGTTCGTTTTTTATTATTATGGTTGGTCACACGATCAGTTAGATCAGTGTTTCTCAACCTTGACAATTTTAAGGCATGTGGACTTCAACTCCCAGAATTCCACATGCCTTAAAATTGTCATGGTTGAGAAACACTGAGTTAGATGTTTAGATTAGATTTAGCATTTTTATCCACCGGTCAAGGATCTAGGATATGCGGATGTTGTTGCTTGATAGTTTTAAAGGTATTGTCACAGGATGTAAGCTGTTCCAAGTAAAGTTGCCTTGTGCAATTGATTGATGGGGATTTTGTCAATGCTGATAGTGTTCAAGCAATGCTCTAAATTGGGAGACCCCAACCCCCAGTCCATGGACCGGTACCGGGCCATGGCATGCCAGCAACCAGTCCGCAACAAACAAGCAAAACCCCATCCATGGGATGCAGGCAGCACACAAAACCACACACCCTCCAGTCCGTGGAAAAACCTTTCTCTACAGAAGTGGTCCCTGGTGCCCAAAAGGTTGGGGATCTCTGCTCTAAATGTTTTGGGATTGTACTTAGTGTGCCTACAGTTGTAACTATCTTCGCTTTCCTTTGCCATGGCCATTCTACTTCTATTTACAGGGCTTTGTATTTTGTGATTTCTTCCAGTTCTTTCTCTTCTAGTCTGTTGTCTCCAGGTACTGCCACATCCACTATCCAGACATTTTTGGCTTTTTTATCAACAATTGTAAGTTTGGTGTGTTATATGACCAGTCTGTTTGAATTCTAAAGTATCAGGGCATTTTAGCTTCTTCATTTTCTATGACTTCATCTACTTTGTGATCCTACCACTTCTTGCTTGCAGGTAAGTGGTATTTCTTGCATATATTCCACGGTTGCTAGTTTGTCATACTGTTGTTTGTGGTCAATCTGTGCAAGCTTCCTGTAACAGTTAACTAGGTGGTCCATTGTTTCTTCAGCTTCTTTGCAGAGGTGGCATTTGCTGTCTGTTGCTATCTTCTCAATTCTGGCTTTGTATGCATTTGTTCTTAAGTTAGAACAGCTAGAATTAGCCCCTGGGCTCTTTCTTCAACTTTCCTGCTCTTAGTCATTGCCAGGTCTTGTTATCTGCTTTGCCTGCTAGTTTTTTTAAGGCACTGGCTATATAATACTTTGCCTTGCCTTGTCTCTTTTCTACTCTTGATTTGGTCATTTTTGTAGGCCAATTTGGTCTTGCCAATAAGCCTTCATGGTGCTCTAACTTCAGTGCATCTTCTTTTATGTTCTTCAGATATTCTTCCAATGCCCTTTTTAAATCTTTCAGCTGTCTGGTGTACTTTCAACATTCCATCCTTGCTAATTGGTAAGTAGTCAGTCAATGTTGCTGCATATATGAAGGGCATGAGTCATTATTCAGGAGTCATTATATTGTATATGAAACAACCAAATACTAATAGGACTAATAGGACAGGTGCCTACTTTGCTTGCATAAAAATATATAAAAGTATATAAAATGAATAGTGACTAATCTATAGGGTAGAACTAATGCATCTTTGACAGTCATAATGAGCAGGGGGTTGGACTAGATGACCTCTAAGGTCCCTTCCAACTATTATCATTATCTATTGTCATCAGTACCTCCTTACTGAATCATTAACTTTACAACTTTGTTCACAAAGTCAGTATAATATGAGGTTAAAGTGGACTTAAGATAATCTTAAGGAGAGTCAGGCTTAAGTCTACCCTCAGCCATGGGATCTGTGAGGTAACTTTTTCACTGATAACCTACAACAGGGATGTCAAACTTGCAAAGTCATGTGATGTCATGACATATTGCGACTTTTTTTGCCATTGCCGGCAATGGAGTGGCCGCGGTTTCGCTATGATGCATCCAGCCCACGGGTCAGCAGTTTGACACCCCGACCTACAATATATGAATGTTGAGAGGATAAAATCAGGGTCCAAATCTGAGCTTCTATACAAAAGAAGATAAATGTAACAAATAAATAATCAAAAAATCCAATGCATCTACAAATTCAACATTGCAAAATCTGTTCCATTGCAAATAATATGTCAAAAATGACCATCCTATGTTGAGGTTTTTTGGTAGCCTATTTACTTCAGCTTAAGTTGTATCCTAAATACTGGCCTTACAGCATGTTTCCCTGCTGGCAACAACTGAGGCACTGAAAAAGAAGCAGAAAAAAGGAAGACATCTAGTTATGAAGCATTAACTTCATATTAAGTTTATGGAGTGGAAAGCAAGACCACAATGTAGGACTTTGTCAGCAGCTTCCCAAAGTAGGGAAACACATTTATACGAAACATCCCACATATTTATACAAAAATATTACATTGAAAATTCTACTGTAATGTTAATAGTTTCTAAAGATGGGCTTTTTGAAGTCCCATCCATTTCCGAAATCAATCTGGGTTGGGAGTCAGAGCTTGAAGGCTGTGGGTGATAATCTCCCTTCTCCAAAAATCCTGGCAAAAGTCTTGTGTGTTTTCTCCAAAGGAACTCTGTTGGGTTGCTGTTGCTTTCATAAAGGCCATTCTGCCTTCCATTTGTTTCTCCTCTAATGATCTTGCCTCATAGCTTCCAAATTGTTTAATTGGTGAGCAATTATCCATTACATACAATGATTCCATCCTGGCAAATGGCTGGTGTCACTAAAAGGTATTTTGAGCCAGGGAATGCATGTTTTCCCTGGGTGCTGAGATATTGAATGGAGCCTGTTATTTAGAATATTGTGTTCCATGGATTGCCCCTAAGTAATTACCAATGAGCAATAGCTGGTGAGCACATAGCCTGGTAATGGAAGCAACCTGTAGCTTGAAGAGAGAGAGAGAGGTAGGGGAATTGCTTTTAGCTGTCTCTGAGCAGCACCTCAGTACCCTTTTCCCACCAGTGATAGGCATTGTTAATATAACACCAGCCTTTCAGATTGCTGCTGTAGCTGCTCTCCTGTGGTGCCATCTTAGACAAGATCTCATCACATAACAGTGGCATTCCCCAATTCAGTGCTATCAGGGTATGTGGGAGACCCATGGACCTATGTTCTGGAATTCATAATCTCAATACATTTGGAGAGTATTGGCTACTCATCTGAGAAAACTTGCATGTGATATTGGTGCTCCTTGTCATCTCAGGGAACCCCTTTTCTCTATGGCGAGCCAAGAAAGAGAAATACAGCGGAGACATATCTTGGAGGAAAAGATAACGGTCTTAATTTGCCTCTTAGATTTATCTGAAGAAAATGCTTTAGGCCTCCTCCTAACAGGGTCAGCTATGGAAAAAATTGTCATTTTGATTCCAAAGCAGCTTGTGATATTTTTTTTAATGATTTTCTCAGGTTCCCAGTGTACAGCCATCCATTTCCTACGACACCAACACTGTTCTTTTCACCCATTGTTGTTACATTATACAAGTGTTGATATCACCAAGGACAAAAGTTTTCTAGCTGATGATTCTTATTATTTTAAAAAATATATTGAATAGAAATGGCCCCTACTGGTCAGCTCAAATTTCTAATGGCTCAAATTTTCCAACATCAGAGCAAGTTGGGTAATATGTTTTGTTCAGCTCTGCAACTTTGACATCTGAGAAATGTTCAGTTATTTTATCTATCACTGACAAGGTCATTTAATATATTATGTTAAGTGAAATGTGAATTTACTATTGAATCTACACTCTGATCTTTGAAACAGCTGAGCCATTAAGGCTACCATATATACACTGCAAAAATCTGGATGAGCACTAGAGAGCAGCAGAACACCAGAGTTTCCAGTATCAGAACTGTTCAATTCCTTCTTTGCGTCTGTCTTCACACAAAAGGAAAAAATAGTCCAACCTACTCAAAGCAGCACCACGGGAGACAAAGAAGGTATTCAGATCAAAATAGCAAGAAATTGCTAAGAGTGCACTTATATACTCTAGACAAGTTCAAATTGACAGGACTGGGTGATTTACATCCCAGGGTTCTGAAGGAGCTAGCAAATGAGATCTCAGAACCACTGAACAAAATCTTTCAGAGTTCCTGGAGCATGGTGGAACTGCCTAAGGACTAGAAAAGAACTGATGTGGTTCCAGTCTTGAAAAAGGGGGGAAGCTACAGACCAATCAGCTTAACATCAATAGCAGTAAAAATCCAGGAAAAGATAATCAAAGAGCAGATTTATGATCAACTATAAACAAACAAAATGATTACTAGAAGCCAGCAAGGATTTGTTAAGAACAGATCACACCAGACAAACCTTATTATCTTCTGTGATAAAGTAACTAAATTGTGGACAAAGTGTGCTTGGACTTCGGTAAGGCATTAGACAAAGTAGACCACAACCTACTTCTTGGTAAGATAGAACAATGTGAGCTGGGCAGTACCACCACCAGATGGATTTGCAGTTGGCTGACCAACTATGCTCAGTGTGTTAGTCCTCAATGGAGCTGCATCTACATGGAGGGAAGTATGCAGTGGGATACCTCAGGGTTCTGTCTTAGACTCAGTATTCTTCTACATCTTAATACATGATTTAGATGAGTGGATAGACAGGGAACTCATCAGATTTGCAGATGACACCAAGCTGGGGAGAATTGCTAACACTTTGGAAGATAGACTCAAGATTCAAAAGGATCTTGACGGACTGAAGCATTGAATCATAGCCAACAAGTTCAGTGGTAAGAAAAGTAAGGTCCTGCACATTTCCTTAAGGTGGAAACGCTTCCCTTTTGTTTCTGCCCAACCCAAGGATCTCTCCCAGCTGTTGATTTTAAGAGCTCCCCTTTGCCCCTGGAATGTCAGAAAACTAAACCAGAATGAAATTTGCCAGCTCCTATCCTGCCATTATTTCCTTTATTTCCACTCGCTCTCATAACTTCTTCCTAGCAGATGGGTAACAAAACCTAACATCTTGTGCAACTTGAGCCTCTTTCTGGACAGAATCAGAATTAATAATATTTTGTAAGGTTGGCACAGTAGAGAACTGTCTCACTCATTACTGGGAATAAGATGAAGGTAATATAAGAACACAAGAGGAAAAAATGTTAAATGCAAACGAGGAGTCCATTTTCGTAATAGTGTTTTATAGTTTCTTAGAACATCACTCAGCTGTTAGAAAGTCTGCTTTCATTACTCTTATACATGCACAACAATGTTGGGTGATGCTGTAAGATACCCTAAGGTAGGGCTTTTCAACCAGTGGTACACGTACCACTTGTGGTACATTAACGAGTGGCATGTGGTTCGCAACCCTGCCTAGCCAAGTGTAGTGGGGAAGGGAAAGAGCCAGCGCAGGCAAGGACTTACTGTAAGAGAATCCTCTGGAGCTGCTGGGGTGAGGCAAAGGCTCCAGGCTCACTTCTGGCTCACCCTCCCCCATGAGAAAGGGGAAGGAGGGGGGCGGAGACAGGAGAGGCTATAAAAGGAGGCAGTTAGGGTGGGAGAGAGAAAAAAAAGAAGTAGCCTTGGGAGGACGAGGTGTCAGCTTTAGCTGCACCAAAGGGGAAGGATGAGGGTAGGGGAAAGAGGAGAGGAGATCAAGCAGGCCGGTCATGAGCCAATCTACAACTTTTGTGGCAGCCACCTGTGCTGGCAGCAACAAACAGGCAAGAAATGCAGCAGGAGAGGGATTGCCCTACACGAGGAATGAAGAAAGGTAGCATCAGCTGGAGGTGAGACACTGAGGGAGATGGAGAGTGGAAGGATTCTTATGTGCTTTTGTGACTTTGAAGTTCTGGGATTTGTGCAATGAGGGCTTTGTGTTCTTAAGGAGTGTTTGGCAATTTCTATTTGGCTGATGGCTGATGTCTCCCATTAGCTTCTATTGCTCTACGGTTGTTAGCTGTAAGTTTTGCTGCAAGGGATTTTGAAGTATTTTTCTCTTGAATGGATTTTGCCTGTAGCATTCTTTTACTTATGAATGGAGCCATTTGGGGAGACTGCCTTAGCCAGCAGCCAATACTTACTACATTTTTTTTCTTAAGTGCCAGCTGCACTCCTTAACTTTCCCTTCTAGCCAGTAGCTAATTCTTAAAGGGGAATGTGCCTTTTTAAGCTAGTTCACTCAACAGCTTGTCTTTTCTGTCTCTGGAGGCTTTTCCTTGTTTGATGAATATATGGAAGAGGGAAAATATGAGGGGGGTTCAAATTCTTCCTTATGAAGGAGGTGGGCATGAGAAAGAGGGAGGCAGGAAAGGAGGGAGGGAGCAGCCCTGCCATTGACTTTGCTTGTCAAAAGGTTGCAAAAGGGGATCACATGACCCTCGGACACTGACCATCATAAATATGAATCAGTTGCCAAGCATCCAAATATAAATCACATGACCCTGGGCATGCTGCAATGGTCATAAGTGTGAAAAATGGTCACAAGTCATTTCAGTGCAATTGCAACTTTGAACAGGGTTTTTTTTTTTTTTGGTCATCAAGTTTTTGACATCTTGCTAGGTAGTACTCGAATATTGCCATATCCTAAAAGTGGTACAATCAATGAAAAGGTTGAAAAGCCCTGCCCTAAGGTATAAGAAACCAAATGGCCATAGGAAGACAGCTACTTGTCTGGTTGATCATAAAAAATTTGTATGCATAGAACAAGAGTAAAGGAAAGGATAAACAGAAAAAAGGGAAAAAAGCATTTAAAAATAAAATACAAATGAATGAACAAAATAATAAAAAATATCACGCAGGCAATAGTTTCCTACTATATCATTACCTAGTGATAAATACTATATCATTTTAAAAGACTTAGAATCACTTTAAAATTTTAAGATGAAAGTGAATATCAAAAACCATGGACAGTACAGTAAAAATCACCAAATAAATTTGATCCATTGTCAAGAAATCAGCCAAAGTGATTTAAATGAATTCAGATTTACTGCAGGCTAACACTCTCTACAAGAATATGAATTACTAATGGTGAAAGCAAATTGGTGGTAGATAAAAGTCAATGGAATTCAAGATGGGCTGGACATAGATGTCTTGTGTGCATGAAGGGACTCAAGATTGGTGACGCATTTGACCTCTCCCTCTGGCTTAGCCTGGTCATCTCCTACATCCATTTTACTAAGAATCTATTCATATTTAGATATACTGTAAAATTAAAATAAAGACTCTATCCATAGAAAAACACACCTTTTGGATGGAGCACAAATTCACATATTAAATTATAGTCTAGGAATCAAATTCTATGTCAAATTTTCTTTAATCTAGACAACAATGGTTCACCATTCTTCTATTAAAGAGCTCAAACAACCTTTCCAACAAGAACCATGTAATATCCTTCCATCAATTAACTTATATAAAAGCTCATTTGATATACTGTAAAGGAATACATGGTTTAATAAAGTTTGTATGAATAGTGCAAGTTGAACATTATAAATTTGTTTCATTCTAATATTATTTCCTAGCATTATTGAGCTTTACAACATTGCTGCCAAATGTGAAAAACTGATCTGATCTGCTCATTACATTTCCATCAATTTTGGAGGGGAATGAATTAGGTAGTTTACCAATCAGGACTGGAAGAATATACCAATGGTAAAATATGCCATTTTTTTCTGGAAATCTCATATCTGAAGTTCCAGGTTCTCATGTATGTAGACAATTGATGGATATCAATTTTGACTGACAACATAAAGGGGCTGCAATTGTGGTGAATATCTGTAGCTCGGGTGTGGGCTGAGGGTGAAGGTTCATTCTTCCACCTGACCCATCTCAAGACCTACTGACCACACAAAGCCCTTATAAGCAGAAGAAAACTGACATTGGCATCCCATAAAATCCACTGAAAATGTTACGTAGCCTGGTAATGAAGCATTCGGAAACCAATCCACAAATTCAGAGAATGATCCTTCACCCTCATAAAGGGTGCTATTTAGCCAGAGTGATTCTGTTAAGAAGTTATATGATTCCTTCCACTGGAAATTTACCTAGGTGCACAACATTATTTATTTTTATGATTTTAAGACTACCCAACTCCACAAAGACTCTGGACAGCTTACAATGTTTTTTTTTAATACACATTACAAATGGAAAACACAGACATCCAGGGAAACCCACAGAAATAATAACTAAAAGATGACTAGAGGTTCCATAGATACCCTAAGTCCAGGTGTAGGAGCAGAGCCAGATCTTCAGAAACTTATAGAAAATATGGAGACTTGGAGCCATATCTATCTCTGAGAAGAGGGGATACTGTTCCAGAAGGCAACAGGATTGTGCTTGCTGTTTTTTTCCATCTAAATTTGCCCAGATTTTTTTATGTTTTTAGGTGTTCAAATTAGCAGGATTGCTAATCTTTGTACAAAAATAGCATAATGACAGATAGAAAACAATGGTAGAAAGTTTGTGAGTGGACTTGAAAAGGATCTTTTCAATCCCAGCTCAGTTAATGTCCCAGCTTTTGAAGTCCACTCATCTTAAATTTGTCAAGGTTGAGAAATACCATTTTAGAACATTATTGTTGTTGCTGTTGCCTTTGCTAGTACTGTATCTTCATCCTCTTCCGGGCTTACCACTGATACATACCTCTGATACCTGACAATAAATAGTTGGCAAGATCCCAAAACCTCCATGCTTGTTTCAGCATGTAGATGAGAGTAACCACGGGGCATTAAGTTCCTGGCTTTCCCAGTCATTATGATGGGGGTATCAATACTTACAACTTTAGCTTGTGTTGGAACAGACCAGAATACTACAATACTATAAATGTTTTAGAAAATTAAATTTTGGTCTTTTACAGGAATCACTTGAAAAATCTATTTCTCAAAATCTAATTCTTTCACTACAGATCTTTATTGGTTTATTTTAATGATTTTGTTTGCCTCCCCTCTTAGTCTGGGAGCTTAATGTGGAATATGGGACAAGAAGTAACTGATGGAAAATTATTAAAGAGAGATCCAATCTAGAACTAAGGAGAAATTTCCTGACAGTGACAACAAATAGTCGGTGAAATAGCTTACCTCCTGAAATTGTGGGTGCTCCTTCACTGGAGGCTTTCAAGAAGAGATTGTGTAAGCATTTGTCTAATATAATATAGGGTCTCTTGTTCGAGCAGGGGGTTTGACTAGATCTCCAAACTCCCTTCCAACCCTGTTCTATATAATTTTTCAATCCTATTTAGTAACAACTGTTAGAGCTTTTCCCACTGCTGACTCAAAATTCTCTCTATCCATCCTTGAGTCAACACAAAATAATGCAAACCATAAATCTCCCTCTCCCTTTGTCAATCTTTTCTAGTCTCAACTTCCAAACTGTGTACCACTTGCTTTAGATGGAATGATTGGTTTTCTGCTCTGATTTTGCTGAGACTTCTTGATGAAGAGAGAAAAACAAAGAGTTAAATGACTTAGAAAGGAAAGCAACATTGCCATTTTTACCAAGGGTCTACCAACCCAATGAGAAGGAGTACAAACCCTAACACCTTTTAGCTAGGAAGGCCTGCAGGGCACCACATATTAAACAGGATAACATCTCAGTAGGAAGAGAGTTAGATTGGTGTGATGATGAGGGCATCCAGTCTAGAATCCTGGAGATTGTGATTTCTGCTCCTACCTTAGGCACAAAAAACAGCTGGGTGACCTTGAGCAAGTCACATTCTCTCAGCCATAGGAAGGAGGCAATGGCACAACACTTCTGAAAGCTTGCTAAGAAAACTTGAGGAATTACTCCATGCAATTGTCAGGAGTCAACATTGATTTGGAAGCATGCACACACTCATATCTCGGTAGGAGAACCCAATATCTTTTGGTGTCAAAATTCAGCCCCAATGTAAAAAATCTTTAGGATTCGTTGAACATTCCCTTCTCTTCTCAACAGCTTTGAATTCCATTTCATTATCAGAAATAGTGAAGGAATTTGGGGTGGGAAGATGGAAGAAAGAAGGCCAGGACATACAGCTTTATATTTTTTGGGGGGGAGTGCTTCCTTTAATCCAGTGGTTCTCAACCTTTTTAATGCTGTGACCCCAACCGGTCATAAGTCGAGGACTACCCAACCGGTCGTAAGTCAAGGACTACCCAACCGGTCGTAAGTCAAGGACTTTCCCTGCCCGGGAGCGCCGCACATGCGTGGTGCCGCCTCCTGTGCCAGCCGAGGCATAGCTAGCAAGGGGCAGCGACGGCGCAGGGCGACCACTGGCTGGGCCACCAGCTGGCCCAGCCCAAGGGAGGTAAGGCACCCGCCGGGCCCCACACGCGCCAGCAACCCTCCCTGCGCCCGCCGGCCTCCCACCTCCCACCCCTGGCACTCTTTTACTTACATTTTTAGTAGTTCCTCAGCAGGGAGGGGTGGAAGCTTCCAGACAGCTCGTCTTCGCTGCAGACAACTTGCAGCACTGTTTACAGACTGGGGCTTTTGGCGGGCTCAGCAGGGCAGAGACAGCCTGGACAATTCCTATTGGCTTTTGAAAGCCAATAGAATTAGACTCTATTCAAGAGAGTCTATTCTATTAGCTTTCAAAAGCCAATAGAATAAAAGGGAGGAACACAGCTAAGGAAAAGGGGGAAAAAATGGCGGACTGCGTTGTTTGGCGACCCCCGTGAAATGGTCGTTCGACCCCAAATGGGGTCGCGACCCACAGGTTGAGAACCGCTGCTTTAATCTTTCCTTGATCTGGCATCTCTCCTATCATGCTGGTGAGCTTGTCTTTTCACCACCAGCTCTGGTGTCTCAGCCTTTTCCCATGTTGCTTCTTCTTGCTGATGTTGCTTTAATTTAATTTTCTTTTTAAATCAAGTCCCATCTCAGAAAATTGTATGTGGAAGGAAACCCCACTGGTCCACCCATACTTGTTTCTTTTTTTCTTCCCCAGATTCAGGAATGGACTGAACTCAAATTTCTGAGCAAAAGGACAAATACAAGAAGGCAGCCAGGAGTAAATAACACCGGATTTAAAATAAATAAATAGCTGTTCTGCACGTCTCCTTGGAAACGGGCAATACTCCTTAGTGCTTGGTGGAGGGAAGGGATTTATACCTCTTTTGTTTCAAATGAAAACAAATGATATTAAGGAACTGGAGAGGGAGGGGGAGAGAAAGAGGGGGGAAATGTGCATGTGTCAGGAGGAGGCAGCTAAGAGCAGGAAAATCCTTCTGCAGTCACTGGCACAGCTAAAGGGGCTGTTTCTTCCCCTCATTCTCTTACTTTTCTCCCCTGCTTGGAAGACGGATGGGGGCCGAAATTGTCCAAGCTTCAGGTAAATTTTGCTTTTCCCAGATGTGCGCAGAAAAGAGAAAAACAAAAGTTCTTCTGGCCAACTTTTGAGGGTTAGATAACAGCAAAAAGCAATGGCTCAGGCTGAAAATAAATGTATTAAAATAAAATTAAAATAAATAAAATTATTAAAATTAAATAGCGATCTTTAGTGGTCTTTGATTCATGAAATTTTTGAGTAAGGGAGTAACTGTGTTCTCACAATCCATTTAACCAGACACAGCATCTTAAGTTTGGTCAGTTTTAACCTTAACTTATCCTGCATTTAGCTCTCTCTCTCTCACTCTCTCTTTCTCTTTCTCTCACTCTCTCACTCTCTCACTCTCTCGCTCTCCCTCCCTCCCTCTCTCTGTGACTTTAGAGCAGGGGTCTTCTTGGTCCTGGCTGAGGAATTCTGGGAGTTGAAGTCCACAAGTCATAAAAGGGCTAAGTTTGAAGACCCCTGCTTTAGAGTTCAACAAGACTTGAAGGTCCAGAAAATGGGCTATCCTACCAGGATAAGCAAGTTAGCATATTGTGTGAACACAGCCACAGTTTCAGTGAAGTCCTTTAGCAGCTTCCAGCCACCTTCACTCCCAGATCAGATAGATACCTTCATCTTCACTGCACCACCCTCTTTCTCCATCAAGCAGAAGAAGTCTATTGTCTCTCCTGTGTGCATTTTTTGGCCGCCCTTTCCACAGTCACGGGGTGTGGCAGCACAGGCATGCTGAGTTCTCTTGCATAATAATAATACTGCAGCAGCAATACTGCAAATAATACTGCAGCAGCTGCTGCTACAGAAATGCAACATCTGGAGAACAGGAAGCTGTGGTCCACATGGCAAAAACATCACCTGTTAACCTGTTGCTGCAAGTGCAGCAAAGAGCATGGTGATATTCTAGAGCAGTGTTTCTCAACCCATGACAACTTGAAAATGTGTAGACTCCAACTCCTGAAAATCCCCAGAAAGCAAAGCCAGCTAGGGAATTCTGGGAGATGAAGTCCATATACTTTAGATTGAGAAATGCTGTTCTAAAGCCTAACCAATCGTTACAGTATGATCACATAGCTTTCCTGACTACAGCCTGGTTCACCAGTGGCACAATACCTCTGAAAGGGAAATATTGTCACTACCTATATCGGGTAGGCAACCTTGGCTCTTTTATGACTCGTGGATTTTAACTCTCAGAATTCCTGAGCCAGCCTGGCTGGCTCAGAAATTCTGTGAGTTGAAGTCCACGAGTCATAAAAGAGCCAAGGTTGCCTACCCCTGACCTATATTCAAATGATTGTTGTGGGGGAGGGACAGCTGTGTATATATGCAACATTTTCAGTTGATGTATTTGCACAACACTCTTGACCTATTTTTGGATGGAGCCATTAGTTCCAGGGACTGCACACACTAGATAGAATCATAAACTAACTGAGGGTTTGCCTTACATGCTTATTCAGCAAAAAGACTAACCACGCTTAAGAGTAAACAAGCATGTGTGAATACAGCCTGTCAGTCTTTTCCTGACCTGGTAAAGTGGGTTCTGTGAGCATGCCCACAATATAATATGCTCACAGGGCTATACATATGTCTGGTTAATATTGATCTGTGAGTGCTTCTGAGGTGATCAGGACTGGTCTTTGAGTGTTCCTAAAGAGAAATATGTGCAGGATTCCTTCACCTTGTAAAAAAAAATTGGCTAAGCACATTTACCTCCCATTCTTTCCAATGTGCCAGACCTTGTCTGCTCCTTTGCAGGTTCCCAGCACAGCAATTCCACTCACTTTTCTCCTTGGTTGACCAATGGAAGATGATGATGATGATGATGATTGATCATCGCACAGTCAGATGGTCTGACTGGATTTGGCATTTTTGTCTACCTATCGAGTCCTTCCCAAGGACCTGGGATAGGCAGATGTGGATATTTGATGGTATTACAGATATCGTTGCAGGATGGAAGCAGTTCCTAGTAAGGCCGCCTTTTGCAATTGACTAATGGCAAATTTGTCAATGCCAATGATGTTCAAGTGGTGCTCCAGTTGTTTTGGGATTGCACCCAAGGAGCCTATTACTATTGGTACTACGCTTGCTTGCCTTTGCCACAGTCTTTCTGTTTCTATTTGTAGGTCTTTATATTTTGTTATCTTCTTCAGTTCTTTCTCGTCTATTCTGCTGTCTCCAGACTTTTTTGTCTTTCTTATGGACAGTTGTTAAGTCCGGGGTGTTATGTTGCAGGTGCATGATTGCCATTATTTTTCTGGTCTTCCTATCCATTGCTTTTAGTTCTGCTTGAGTCCAGTCCACTATTCCAGCTGTGTATCTAATGACTGGAATTGCCCAGGTGTTGATTTATTATTATTATTATTATTATTATTATTATTATTATTATTATTATTAATATTCTATATCTCACCTGTATTATTTTTACAAATAAGGTGGCGAACATATCCAACCCCCCTTCCTCCTCCTATTTTCCCTACAACAGCCCTGTGAGGTGGGTTGGGCTGAGAGAGAGGGAGTAACTGGCTCAAGGTCAAGCAATTGGCCTCCATGGCTCAGGCAGAACTTGAATTCACCTTCTCTTGCTTTGTAGCCTGGTATCTTAACCACTAAACCAAAGTGGCTTGGCTAGGAGATGGGAGAAACAGGTTCTCGTTCTCCATTGCCTTCGGAAGCCAGCTGGGTGCTTTGCCCCCCCCCCTCACTTAGTCTCTCAGCCCTAGAATTCCCCCTCCCCCCCCCCCAAAAAAAAAACAAATTCTACCAACCCAGCTAGAACAGAGCCTCAATAAAGAGGCTTCCATCCTCCGGTAGATTGATTTGGAGCCATTGTCATTATCGGGGGGGGGGGGAATGACAATTTGGCAATTTAGAACTGAAAGCAATGGAAAGAGAAGGCACACTATCTTGAAGGCAGGATTGTGCAAAAGTCAAGAGCCTAGTCCTCAATCTTAAGCGTCCTCTGAATCTCTCTCTCTCTCCCTCCCTCCCTCCCTCCCCCTCCCTCCCTCCAGCAGTTGTAAACATCCGATCTACAGAGTTGACTCCAAGTAGAGAAGGAAGCAAGCGACGGCTTTTCCACGGCAAAGTAACTTACCTCTCCTGTTTCTTTTCCCCAAACTCTTTGGACTTTCGATCTAGTTCTCTGTTCTATTAAAATAAATAAAAAGGCTTAGGTTCGGTTTTGCTTCAGCCCCTTCCCCCCAAATAGAACACAAACAGACCAGGCCTCTCGCGGTGATCCTCGGGCGAGACGGAATCCCCGGGGCAGTGCAAGAGGCCGCTAGGATGTCCTTCAGATTCGATCGAAATAGATTTAATTGCGAGCCGAGTGACTTGTGCCCAATGTTAGCCGATAGGCAACTTCTAGATCCCTTTGGTGAGTTTGTTAAACCTTCCCTTTTCTTTCTCTTTCTTTCTTTCTTTCTTTCTTTCTTTCTTTCTTTCTTTCTTTCTTTCTTTCTTTCTTTCTTTCTTTCTTTCTTTCTTTCTTTTTTTGGATAGAGCCAAGACTCGAAAAATAAATGAAAAACGCAGACCTCTGGCGATGACGACGCTTATTTTGCACTGAAGTTCCCTCTTAAAATTACAACCCTTTAAAAAACACTTAACGAACTCCATTGGAAACGTTCGTGTATCTGCTCCCCGCGAGCGGCCGCGCACACAATACACAGTTTTATTGTAATCTAAGTGTTTCGAGAAAAGTAAAAAAAATAAAATAAAATAAAATAAATAAAAAGTTGCTCCTCTTTGATCTGCGACCGCTGGCGGAGATTTTCTGCCTTTTGCTTCCCCTGAATTAAACCAATAACAGCAAACTGAAGCTTTTCTCTCAACCCGACTCAACCTTCAGCACCCCCCTCCCACCAGCAGCAGCAGCAAACTCCCCCCCCCCCCGCGCTCCCGCAAAGGCGTCCGTGTATTTGCGCTGGAGCGTTTGAGGCTTTGTTTATTTGAAAAAGGATAATCTGGCTCCGCGTTTACAGGGCACGCATCAACCGAAAGAAGCTAAGTTTCATTTCTTAGAGAAAAAGGAAGCCACCAGTCAGGAACTGCTACCCCGGTCCCGGAAAAAGAAAAGAAAAAAAAGATGCTAGGAATATGGGCAAGCTAAAAGAAAAAAAAAGTTTTGTAGATATAATTAAAAAAAAAAAAACCAGAACGGAGAAGCGCAAAGAACGGAGCTGCGTTTGGAACCAATCTGGCTAGAAGTCAGTGCTGTTGGATTCGTTTCTAAACCGTCAATCTCGTTCGCAAAAAATATCTCGAGATACACACAACGGGCGTTTATAAATCGATTTTAGGGAGGGAAAGGGCACCGGACTCAGCCCTTCTGCGCCAAAGCATTGAGAGAAACGGACCGTTCCTTTCAGTCAAACTCTCAGCAAAAGCTTGGCTTAAATGGGATCGTTTTTAAGGAAAACCGAATCTGAGCCTTGGATTCCCCCCCCCCGTCCATTGGGTTGTGTTTTCCTCAATTGCTAATTTATTTGCAGTTTTGCTTTTGGGGGGGGGTTCGGTCAGAATGAACGGCTGTAATCCCCGCCCACTCTGTTCGGCGACATAACCCGGAATATTAATATTCGGAAATGGCTAACGGGCCGATCACTAAATAAACCGCACCTGAAGGAGAAACGGGGACCAGTGCCAAGGGCGGGGTGGCGGTAGAGGGAGGAGGAAAGGGAGAACTTAGAAAAACGGGTGGCTGATTAAAAGAAAGGAAGAAAAAGTGGGAATTTGTTGAAATGCAGTTAATTGAAAGAGTATGTTTATTGATGTGTGGCTGCACCTTAAACGCCCAGCCCGATTCCAAAACGTTTAGCTTATTCTACCTCGACTGAAGGCGAGGAAAGGAAAGGAAAAGGAAAGGAAAGGAAAGGAAAGGAAAGGAAAGGAAAGGAAAGGAAAGGAAAGGAAAGGAAAGGAAAGGAAAGGAAAGGAAAAGAAGGCGGCGGATTCAGGCACGCTATTTCTCTCCCCAAAGAGGTAACCATTTTCCTGGTGATTTCAAGGGGAGGCAGGGAGGAAAAGGGAGGGGGGCGCAGGGTGCTCTAAGTCCTTTTGTGTCCAGCTGTAGAAATCATAGCTTTCAAAAAACTTTATCCCAACTCTTTTGTCCACCCATCATTTGTGCGTGACTGCGTCTGCTGTTTCGCGTATATCCTATATCCCTTCTTCTCAGAACGTTTATAGGAGCGGCTCAAACACCCCCTGAGCTTCCAAAGCATCTCCCCCCCCCTTAGTTCTTTATCTCCTTTCCTCTGCTTTTCAATCTCTAAATTAATCAGGAAAAAGCCCGAAACGAAATAAAGACAGGGGGGAGGGAAAGTGGGGGACAGCCCACCACCATTTTCTATTCTGGCAAACAGTTGACGAAATTCAGCTTGTTTCCTAAATTAACCCCCGAAAGAGAGCAAAGATCTGGATTCTTTGTAGTTTTGCAGAGACAGCAAAGCTAAGCTGGTTTGGGAATGCCACAAAAGGTTAAATCAAACCCTGGAGACACCAAAATAAAAAAAAAATCCCCCCTTTGGTTCCAGAAACAAATTCTCAAAACCTTTCGCTTTATGGAAGTTGAAATGAGCTTTGAGGAAGGGAACTTTTGCAAGCACATGGGGAGACAAAGACTATCACTTGTGCTAGAACCATTTAATAGAATTATACATATCTGCCAAATCCAGAAAAAAAAGGTTTATGCATATATATCTTTTTTTTCTCCATTTCACATCTGCAAGCATAAAAACAACAAGTATTTTTGCTGTTTGGAAACTCAAGGTCAGAGCAATTGACCGATGTCTTAAATATATATACTTCTTTCTCCTTACTGCTAGCTTTTCCAACAGTAGGCTACTGTAGTACAGGTGAAGGTAAAAGTCCACGTGTATTTTTATTTAGTGACTTTTTTTTTTTTTAGATTTCAGTGATGTTCGTTCAGCCACAGCTTGCTGTTAAAAGTTGCTTTGTTTTTTCAGTGCAGTTTACCTCTAATAAAAGGCAATTTTAGAGCAAGAGAAAGACAGAAAGAAAACCAGACAGGGAGGGAGAGGAAGAGAGATAGAAAAAGAAAGAAAGAAGAAATAGAAAGATGGTCATATGTAACTCAGTTGCTCAAATTTCACCGTTAATTATAACCTCTGTAAAATCACAGCAGAACCTCCTGCTGGTGTGGGGTTTATAATTGCATACAATACAGGAGATCACAGTTTTAAAGTCTAGCACAGATTAAAAACCACAGATGTACCATTTATATAAGACGCACACTGATTGTCTCTTAAAAACTACATATTGACTCCTTATTGACATTATTCTTATTTCTCCCCCTCTTAAATAAAGTAGTGCAGCTAAGACAATCAGTCCCATGATCCACAGAGCTCTTAACCGAGTTCTTTGTTCATTTTTTTTCCTATGGCCAACTTTGCCAAATGAGGCCGAAGCAATCGAAGAAGCTTGAGAGATGTATATGGATGTATTGTCCCATAACACAAACATTTTAACCAAGGTTGGATGGAAAGGGAAGGAAAAGAAGGGTCATTCTTGCCATACAAAAAAGGTAACTAGTTAGTGCCAAGCAGGCAGGAAGGAAGGAAGGCAGGAAAGAAAGGCAGGAGAGAGAGAGAAAGAAAGAAAGAAAGAAAGAAAGAAAGAAAGAAAGAAAGAAAGAAAGAAAGAAAGAAAGAAAGAAAGAAAAAAGGAAAGAAAGAACCCAATACCCCCTACTCTGGGTCATAGAATAATCTTCCATCCCTATCCAGGCAAAGAAACCCAACAATTGGCTAAAACTATGAAGCAATGAGAAACTAAGTGATGTGGTTCTGTTCTTGGTCAACAAAATATGTCTTTCCTTCTTATCTTTCTTTCCAGAGCATCTGAGCAAGAGGTGAAATTGGGAGGTATGATCACGGCCACTGAATTTCTTGCCTTTGTTATTATTTTGTGTCCTGTTCACAATTCTTTTTAATTTAAATCAAAGATCTCAAAACTGGAAATGTCAGCCTACTATGGCTATTGTCTTGTCTGTTTCAACAACATCATTGTGATCACTTATCATCAGCATTAGCATCATCACCATTATTGTTTATCACAAAGGGTTCCTAACAGGTCTTCACAAAACCTGAAACTTCCATGAAGATGTCTGGTCTTTATAATCCAAGCAGTCAGCATTGAAGTTTAGCTTCCAGGAGGCTGTTTGATCCTTATAATCCAAACAATCAGTAGATGAGTTAAACCCCAAACTTGAAGCTCCGTAACCTTGAGTGGAGAGTGAAGCTGGAGACTGGTTGAGATGGCTGGCCACAGCATTGGTACCCATGGGGCTAAGGGTGGCCCCTGGTCCAGGGAGCTGGTGATGCATAGGGGTCAGGTAAGATCCACAGTCCATTCCTCCAAAATATGAGGTTGAGCCGGCATATCCTTGGCTATAGCCTGAAGCCTGAGTGTAGGTCATAGGGTAGGACCTCTGCATGCATGAAGAAGAAGTGGACAGGGGGTCTGAGAGAGGAGAGATGGATGCTGGGCTCCAGATAGACACTGGGGCGCTGCTGCTGGAAATGGCAGGGACTGAGGTACTGGCTGGAGGTGTGAATTGGCCGCTGGTTCCACTCTCTGAACTCACTTCTCTGGCTGGAGAACTCTTCTTCTTTGCGGGCCTCACTTTATTCTGGCCCCCGTTCTGCTGCTGTTGCTGCTGCTGGCGGCATTTAGCCCGACGATTTTTGAACCACACCTGGAAAACCAACCAGGAAAGAGGAGAAAAAAGAGCAAAGGGTGTTAGCTATTAGGATCACAGCAAGGACAAATGTGATAAGAGGATATGGAGTTTTACTGAGGAATATCATATTTCTTAGCCATTCCTCATTTAAGCAAAATTTCTCAAGAGTTTAATAGTAGCTATGAAAATGTTGCTAGTCCTCTTGATTTCCATTTGGGCTTCTCTCAACATCCCTTGCATGTTTTGCTGATACACTATGGAAAACCTTATCCGAATTTTTTTTTAATCCAAGTGGAACATGGTGGCAACTTTTATAACGGTGGCAGAAGCCCACGTCAATATCCAGCATCACAAAAAACAGGGCATTATCTGAGAGTCCTATCAGTATTTAGGTTGAGGCCTACCCCTTGCTCCTTAAAAATGGGTTCAGAAAGCTGAAATAAATGACCAGGAACAAAATATTACGATTTAATTAATGGGAGCCAACAAAGATAACCATGGATCTACTGCAGATGCATTGAATTGCCCATTGTTTAGCTTCATCCACTCTTCTTCTCCTGTTTATCTCTGCTTTATCACATCTACTGCAATCCCAAATTGAAAAATATGTGGTTACATCTTATTTAGAAGACGGCTACACAAAGGACTGTTATTTTCATCTGCAACCATGAAGCAATAGTGTACGTGGAAAACCACTGCAGAGTGTCAGACTACCAGTGCTTTCCTAATGTAGAACCAAGCAAACCTTTAATAAGAGTACTTTGAAGACAGGGGAAAAAGTTCTTTGCAAGCCTCTGAGCCTGGCAGCTTAGGTACCCCAAGGACTTCCACTTAAGTCCTACTGAAGTCAAGCCCTTAATTAAAAAGAATAGAATATTAGAAAGGAGAGGTTATCAATTAAGAGAGCGACTGAATGGGAGGGAAACATGCTTGTCCAATTAAATGAGCTGTATCTTTTCTTTCTTTCCACCCCTCTCTGAAGGGCAATTAAATAGTAGGAAGTTCCCTAGAACCTGTTGATAGATGTTAAAGGTCTTCATTTACTTCATCTCATGTAAGCAAATCACTTGATTTGTTTTCAAATTCAAAGGATTTGTTTTCTGGTTGAAAAAAAAATCACATGATTTGTTTTTAAATCGTGTGATTTCCAATCAAAGCATCTCTCTCTGTTTTTTTCCTCTACAGCTAAGTCCCAACTCCCTAACTCCGGTTGCCTTTTGAAAGAGCACCTTTGAGATCCCAAACTCCTTCATACCAACAAAGAGGCACGACTCTTCTGAGGACCATCCATCCCTCGCTTCTCTGATGCTCTGCTTTCATTTATAATCAGAAGAGACTTCGATTTTCTACTAGCTGAGCTATGAAGAGATCGGTAATAGATACAGGCATGCCACTGAACAAATTTTCCAGTTTGGCGATGGAGGGGTTCTCTTGCACAAAAGATGCCTTTTAGATCGTAGCTGTTTTGGACTCTCCAATGCAAATAGAAATCTGTGTACACGTTGTTATTAAGCAATGTTGATGTCTATTTAAAAAACACGAAAACCACATTTGCTCCAAAGAGGAGCACTACATGCAACTATCACGACATTCTCCCACCTCTCCTTATAATGACATATTTCTGCTTTTCTCTTTTCCTTCATCCCCGGTCAAATAATCAATGGCAGTTCTAGGAATTCCTTCCAAAAGGGAGCTAGGCATCTTTTTAGATACCACAAAGTAGCTCCTAGGGAGTGCTACAATTTTGGCGCTTGATTGGAGCAATCCTTGCAAGAAAAAGGCACATCAAGTGTGTGCTTTTCTTCTGGTCTGATCTCATATCTGTGACTTCTATCCAGATGATTGAAGATATGCCCCCTCCCCCTTTGCTGCAGGATAAAGCGATCTTTACGAGAGTGTGATAAGGAATAGGAGAAAAAAGTAAAAGGAAGAAGGAAAATGAAAGTATTTCAAGAGGAGGAGATCATATTTATTTATTAAACAAATGTATATAGCCGCCCAATTCATACACAGTACTCATTAAAATATTAATTGCAGTTCCTCTCACCTACCATTTAAATTGCTCTTTAACTCTATTTTGTGAAATGATCATTTTGAAGGTGTCATTTTTCATACACTTTTATTCGTTATGTTTTTCATTCTTTTATTCCTAATATATAGTCTGTAATATTAAGTACAGTGAACAATATAAGTCATATTAATAAAAGAGAAAACTCAATAGGAAGTCGTGACATAAATTACACAGCCAAAATACCAGTTAGAAAATATGGCAAAAATGTTATGCAGTTCACGTAAAAGGGAAAATGATGGAACTAAAAGTCATGTAAGCCTGTGCTATATCAAACATGACAAATTTAGGTTCCCAGCTTCCTGCCTAAACAGTCATTTTTAAGAAGTTCATTCTTACTGGTGTACGATGCAGAACCTTGCGATTTGTGATTCCAGAAGGCCACATGAATGATACAAGTATGTCTCCAACAGATGAGAGTATCTGTAACTCAGGGTTGAACAGTGGAGTTCTTGGTACTCTCTGAGCCTGTTGGTTTGCTTGCAGATGTTCCAAACATTGCACTGATGATGCTACCTACTTGGATAATGAAACATCTGCAGGCAAATAGCTCAGCTCAAAGAACACCAAGAACTCCACAAATATCTCTCTCAGGCTTGTTAGGAACCTGGGGTTTAACTATATCACCCTGTAAAGCAGGGGCTTCAACTCCCAGAATTCCTCAGTGAGCATGCCTGATTGAGGAATTCTGGGAGTTGAAGTCCACAAGTCATAAAAGGGCCAGGTTTGAAGACCCCCTGCTGTAAAGCATATGAAATCAACTGTGAATCAAGGCTTGCCTCTCTCATCAAGTCTGTTCTATTAAAATAAATGGCATTTGTGATGTCTCTGGAAAAGGAACAATTTAAAAAAAAAACCTAATTTATGTTTAAATATATGTTTCCCTGTCTCAGAACAGACATATTTTATAGCAGTTTAATTATCAAACTCAAGCAATATGATAAGTGAAATTAAGTATAGGTGCTTTAAATGATCCTTTATGCTCTATTCTAGAGAATATGTCAGTTCCTGGAATCTCCTGGAGAGAATGAAAGCCTATTAAACTAGTTTAACTCTACAAGTGTAAATGTGCCTTTCCTCTTCCTGTAGCTTACAGCATATTATGAATTCCCAGATTTAATGTCAGCAAAAGTGTCCTGTGGCCATCCTTTTTTTTTTTTTTTTGGCAAACCTATTTTACCCCCCTCCTGAAAATATCTGGGCAGTTCCATTCATTTCACGCTTAGTGGAAAGCAAGTACAGATGGAATCATTGAACAATGCTTTCAAGTTAAAGACTATTTTGGATGTCAAGCCTTTCTTGGTGGACCCTGCAGGAAACCTGCTTATAAACTGAAATGTATAATGAGTTGGTGTATGCATGTGTGTGTTCACACTCATACCCAATCACAAAGCACTGAGTATGAGTAGCCAGAGTGCAATGCAGGTATTGCAAATTATCAGTATTACCAATATCCAGATTTCACTTCACTCTTATAACCTAACCAAATGCTCTTTTTAATGTTACATTGCATCATATCATTTCACCCTGTAATTATGATTAGGATTAGAAAATATTGTATAGAGAAAGAATTTCCCCTAGGTCACTGGGTTTGCATTTTTCCAAGAACTGCTTTTAAATGACATCTGTCATAAACCAGTTTTGGGGTCATTCCTGAAGTACAGCTCATATACTTTCTGGCCAGAGAGACAGCTGAATGTTGCTGTTAAAAAGTACAAAAGCTGGTCTGGATGGATAAATTAAACATTAAAAGACTCCCAGTTTATATAGGTACCATTTTATCTCATGGCATGATGATGACAATGATGATGCTAACAACAACAATCAAAACAATGTAGCTAGTCCACTGAAAAAGCAATAGGTTTTAAATTAAAGAAGCTGGCTGGTTTCTTAGCAAAATCAAAAGCAATATGGAAGCTAGGTCGGGATAGGCAACCTTGGCTCTTTTATGACTCGTGGACTTCAACTCCCAGAATTCCTGAGCCACCATGGCTGGCTCAGGAATTCTGGAAGTTGAAGTCCACGAGTCATAAAAGAGCCAAGATTCCCTACCCCTGACCTAGGTAGAAGCTTGGTAAGAAGGTACAGAACATGATTAGTGCAGTCCAGTCAGAACTCACTTTCTCAGCCTCATTCATTTTCCAAACCTCTGGACAATTCTTCACCATTGTGCATAGCAGCCAAATCTGGTATGCAAAAGAAGGCACAGTTCCATATAGTTCAACCCATATCTCTCAATATAGGTTCACCACTTTCTCATATTTCCTCTTTCTTTTTCAGTGTGTACCTCTTAGAAGTACTTAAGGGTGTACATTTTTGTTGCTTGAAAGAGCACTATGTTAAATGATCATTGTCAAAAGGGTATAATATCAGAGCTGGTGAAGTCTGATGAACAGCCAGTGGATTGCACTCTGAAGATCTTTTTTCCAAAAGTAGTCACTTGCATGCATCCTCATCTTATCTTCTTTGTTTTTTTTTAAAGATTGAGCAAGAGTATCTGCAAAATCATCTTTGGTTTCTGGCCACTTAATTGATGTGATAAATCATTAAAGAGGCCTGTGTATGCTAAAAGCATTCATTTCCCACCAAAATAAAAAGAGAGGAATGTGATTATCTTGCTACAGTCATATGAGATACAAGAAAAGTAATCAAACAGCAAACAGATGCTCGGGAAAATCCTCTTTTTTTTTTTTTTTTTTGACAAGTTTATTTGACCAGTAGGTCTGCCTGTCAGGACTTTAAGCCTTGCTAAGAACCTTCTTCCATGCACCTCAGCCAAACTGAATTCAGTTGTCAGCCCTCTTCATAAATCCTATCTCAAGAAACCATGAAGATCTATTGGGTGGCCTGTAACAAATTCATACCTTAGTACTTATGGAAGCACAAGGCTGCCTCAATGCAAGCATTTTGTTGTAACAAGACTGTTGTCAGGCAACTGCATGGGAGGACCGCATTGAACCTAATTCATCCCAGTCACTTTTGAGATCAGAATAAGCTACATTGGAGGGAGAGAGAGGAAAAACCCAGTCCAAGATATTGTTCAAGCAAAGTAGATTTGGGCTATTCCTCACTAGAGAGTTATAGGGTCTTACAGTGCTACCCAGCCATCATAAAGCTGGACCTTATTATGGCACATTATGGGTGGATGACAATACAAAATCACTAAAGAGGAAATGCCCTTGCTCTATCACAGTGTTTTTTCAATCTTGGCAACTTTTAAGGTGTGGACCTCAATTCCCAGAATTTATGCTGACTGGAGAATTCTGGGAGATGAAGTCCACAGGTCTTAAAGTTTTCCATGTTCTAGCAACATGCCAGGATGAAACACTGGTATTTCTGACCTGGTATACATGACATTCTTTCAAGGAAGGGTGCAGGGTCAAAAATTAGAGCTTTGCTGAATTAGAACTGATGGTCTGCAATCTCAGTGTCCTTTTTTTTCTGATAATGGCAGAGTAGAAATTATTCCCACTCCCCAGGTAGGTCATTAAACATCAGGTCTTGCCCCACTTCAACTTCTGGTTTTTGGAGATCCAGAACTTTGGAGCCTGGGGCCCATTTTAGCTTATCACCCTCCACTACAATTTCACCTTCGTTTTAAGACCATGGGGTACCTCTGGATGGCTGCAATCCATACCTGAAGGGGGCCTTTCTCATCTTAGGGGTCTTCAGATATGTATATTCAGCAACAACTCTTAGCATTGCCCTCAACCACTGCTACTAAAGGTAGTCCAAATGTGGCTGAGCTTGGGGTAGAAGAAATCTTTTCTAAAATATTAGCCTGCCTAGAAAGTTGCCTTTCTGTCCCTTGGGATGGGAAGAAAGAGGTTGGAGTTTCAGATCCCATCTTTCCCTGGAGATCCTTGTCCCGGAAGGAGAGTCAGAATGCTGAGGACAGCTGAAGATTACTCTGCATCTCATCTCTTTCTCCACTCCACACCCTTTCTTTTCTCGGCCACCAAGGCCCTGCCCAGAACCCTACCGGTTGCATTGTCCTCCCGACCCCGCCTCCAGTTCTCTGGAGACCCAGTCTTTCCAGATAGAAAGACAAACCGGGAGGCGCGCACCAGCCCTTTCCTTACCTGCACTCGTGACTCCGGCAAGTTAATTTTGAGGGCCACCTCTTCGCGCATGAAGATATCCGGGTAGCGGGTTTTGGCAAAAAGGGCCTCCAGGACGTCCAGCTGCGCGCGGGTGAAGGTGGTGCGCTCCCTCCGCTGTTTCCGAGGGGTGGCTGGGAAAGAAGAAATGCCAGCTGACCGGTCAGGAGCAAAGCCCGGCTAAGTCCGGGAAAGAGGGCTCGGCCGCTCTACAACGGGAGGGGGCTCGAACAGTCAGTCCACCTTAAGCCGTTTCGGCGCCTCTGACTTCCCCTGAAAGCCCTGCCCCCTCTTTCCTTGGGAGTGAGCCCAAACAAGTCCGGTTTTCACGGGGACTGATTCCTAAAGAAGCCCCATCTCCAGGTCGGACTCGGGTAGGGTCCAGCTGAGGGGTAGAGGTCTCTGCTGAGCGATGGTGGCCACCTCGCTGAGCTCAGAGAAGACCAAGCTGCCAGGGCCGCAGGCTAACCGGTTCCGGGCCTAGGTGCCCAAAGACAGATCGCAATAGCGCGCGATCCTATAGCCTCTCTTCTAAAGGAGCCCCATCGAGCTGAATGCGACGAACTCTCCTGGGAGAGCCTGAGGAGGGCGGGGTGAGGGGGGGTGGGGGGGTGCGAGCCCATCTTCCTGAAAGAAGTGTGCCAGCGAAGCTTCAAGGGAGAAGTTAACTCCGGGTGGCAGCCTCAGAGCTACCGCATTGGACGTTACACCGACTGGGGAACCGGTTCGGACACAGCGGGAGGCCTGCTGGCGGCGTCTGGGCGCAAGGAACGACCGTAGCAGCATCTGGACCGACCGTGCAGATGGAGGCTCCAATAGAAGAGCATATATATATATATATAGCTCAAGGTTGAACTCTGCAGTCCTTGATGCTCTCTGAGCTTGGTGGTTTGCTTGCAGACGCGCCATCACCCAAGTAGGTAAGATCACCAGTCCAGGCAAGATCATTAGTGTACTGATGGCCTTACCTAGTTAGGCAATGAAACGTTTTCAAAGGCTCCACAGATGGAGGTTCACTGGGAGCGGCAGCCTAATTGCCCTCCGCCCTATGAACCACCCTCTCGCCCTTCTCCAGACCTCAGAACAAAACAAAAAAACAAAAACCCGACTTGCTCCAAACGTCGGGAACAGCACTTTGCCCGGAAAGGCTGACTTGCGTTCAGACAGAAAATTCGTTCACGTGAAAGGAATTTTTTTCTGAACCCGTGAACGGGAGAAATTTAAGGGGAGAGTTGGGATACTCCGGCTATCACCTGGTCCCCATTGGCCCCCCGGGAAATAGGATCCCACCGGCGGAGGAGTAAATAAGAGGCCCCAAACCTAACGAGTCCCCGCCCTTTGGAAGCCCCTTTGGGCAGCCCGGGTGTCTCCTCCCTTACCTGGATACCCGACGGAGGGATGGAGCAGGTCCATCCCGGAGGTGGTGAGGCTTAGGCCGTTGACTGCGTAAGGTGGTTGCTTAAGATAAGACATCATGCTAAAGTTGGGGCGAGGAGGAAAAATGGCCAAAATTCTGGGGCTGCTTGGAGTTGGCAGGAGGTGCCTCCTGGATCTGCTTCTTTCTCCTTTCCTCTTTCTTCTCCAGATCTTTCGGGTAGAGAAGTTAACTTTGTAATCCGGAGCCTAATTTAGAAAACCAAAAGAAGAGAAAAAGAGAGGGAAATGGGAGGGAGAGAGAGGGAAGGAGAGAAAAAGAGAGGGGAGGGAGGGAGGGGGAGGGGGAGAGAGAGAGAGGGAAGGAGAGGGAGAGAGAGGGGGGAGGGAGAGAAGGAGAGAGAGAGAGAGAGAGAGAGAGAGAGAGAGAGAGAGAGAGAGAGAGAGAGAGAGAGAGCAGTTAGTGAAAAAAAGAAAGCCTCGTCCACGGGGGTCTTCGAACTAGCGAAGCCTTGCTCGCCGCGGGGTGGCACCCGCTGAGCTGCAGGCCCTGCCAAACCGCGGCCGACTAGATGGACGCATCCCTCCCTCGCCCCGACGAACCCCTTCCTCTCGGCCGCCCCACAAGCCACAGTGGCGACGTACAGTAGCAGTTCCCTTCGCTAGGAGCAGCCCCCCCCCACCGAACACAAGCACGCACGCACGCACTCCAGCCTACTCCGCTCCGGCTTGCTTTCCAGGGGGCATTTGCCAAGGTTTTCCTGGGTTTAGCAAGTAGTTAATTGCCTCCAACAAAACTTGATTGGGACCCATTTTACGGACACAAAGGACCCCTTGGCTAAATAAATAAGGCGGCTAACAAAACCTCCCCACCCCGTTCGGTAATTTTCCTCGGCCACAAAGGAGCGTATCTGTCGTCCCCACCCCCACCCTGAGCTTTTTAATTACCCCAGATTTTTGCAACTGCAAAAGAAGCGCGCCCCCCCCCCTCCCCCAAGTTGAGAATTCAAATGCCCACTTTAAAGAAGATCTAAGCGAGGGGGTTTGGTGGGGGCGCTCCGCTGATTCGCCGTCCCTCTATCTTGGCATGCCTGAAGTTATTTCTTTCAGCTATTTTCCTCCCCCTCCTAATTAGCACTTGCGCTAATTAGATTTAGAGGCAAAAAAAAAGGGGGCTCCCCGAATTTGAAGGCTTTTACCAAGGCGGGGGGGGGGGGAGAGGAGGAGAGAGAGAAGGCCGCGGCAAGCTAAACAAACAAGTAATTAACTTTTGCATGAAGTGGGGAATCCTTTCGCCCAAACTCTCTTCCAGGCACCGTCCGCATTTGCCTCGCTCTCTTTTGGCGGAGGATGGAAGGGGGAAGAACGGCGGCCTTAATAATTGAAGCCATTAAGATCTGCGCCTGGGTAAGAGCGAGGAAAGCGGCGATCCAGGGATTTCCTTGGTTTGGGAGAGTCTTTCTCCCCCCTCCCCCCCGCACCTCCAGCTAATCTGGAGTCCAATCTACAAAGATAAACTTCTGCACCAATTCGTGGTGTGCATTTCTTCATCTCAACACAAGATTTGGGTGTCAGCAACCCCCCCCCCGGGCAAACTTCTAGAGAGTTCCCCTGATCCCCGTCACAAGGGGGACGTTAATAGTTCCTGACAGATCAAACCTTCGCGCATCGAGGAGGAGGAGGAAAACGGGGCGGGGGGGGGCAGGGAGGGGGTTAAGATTTCTGCGAGGATCTAATGCAGTGTTTCCCAAACTTGACAATTTTAAGGCATGTGGACTTCAACTCCCCGAAGTCCACAGCCAGCGTTGCTGGCTGTGGAATTCTGGGAGTTGAAGTCCTCATGCCTTAAAATTGTCAAGTTTGGGAAACACTGATCTAATGAGTTTGAGGTTTTGGGGGGAGGAGGAGGTGGTGGCTGCGTCTTCTCCCTCTTTCTGCGCCACCAGCAAAGGCAACGAAGGCACTTAATTTTCTGTTTTCTCCCTTTCAAGAAACCAATGAAGTTACCGAAGCGCGCTTCAACCAAATCGTGGGAATACAGCTCCCAACATCTTCCGCAGGAATTCTAGCCCAGCATCCCGAGGCAATCAATACCTGCTTGAGGAAGCCGGGTTTTTGCGACACAAAAGTTTTTATAGGAGGGGAAAAAATTTTTTTTGCACGTTTACCAGGAATGTAGGAATGAAGGGGACGGGTTGGAAGTTTAGAGCCCGCCTCAAATTCCCATCCCCCCCCCCTTTCCTCGTAGGCAATCCCTTTGCTCTCCCTCCTAAGGCAACCCTGCGGCTCCGCGCCCGGCTCTCCTTCTGTGGGAAAGGCGATCCAAATGAAAGGAAATCCAATCCAAACGCAGGAAACAAGGTTTCCTCCTCCGTGGAGCTTGCAAGCAAACTGGGCACCGGGCGGAGGGAAGGCCGAAAGCCGTTTGCGGCCCCTTCGGGGGACGGGCGCTGCTCGAAGTCAGCGGGCCTCTGAGCAAAGTTACTCACCGTTTTAAGTCAATCGAATTTCACGGCGAAAAGTCCTTTCCAGACCCGGACAGAGGGCTTTCCGGGAAAGGGAGGCTTTGCCCAGCCAACGCGACTGACTCGCTCCAGCAGGCGATTAAAGCTAAAGCCAGCCTTCCCTTTCAGACGTTCCCTAAACGCGATCTTACGCGTGTTGACTTCAGAGCAGAATAAACCTCTGAGGTTCTCTGCTCAGATGGGCACTAACAAGGCCACCTGTACCCGGCTTAGGTTTCCTCAGAGGAATTTCCCAGAAGTAGCGTTTGCAAGAAGCGCAGCCTGACTGTCTCCTTTCAAAGATCCTGGGATTTTTCAAACATTCTGAAAAGGGAGACACCCCCCCCCCCCGGTTTTCTGCGCTTCCAAAAAAGTCCCACTAAACTTTTCACTTTCGCCGAGAGAAAATGATTCAGCTGCAGATGAAAACGCCAGGAGCCCTTCTGTCTTTGATAAGAAGTTTCAACCTCGGATGAGACTTGAAAATAAAACAACAGCAGCAAAACCCTGTTTATTAAAAGGCAGCTAATCCACCCAAACGGTTTAGTTCCGAACAAGTTTCTGGATCCACAAAATGTGGGATACTTCCTAAAATTCCCAGATAGAGATTTCAATATGGGGATTCATACAAGCCTTCTATTCCTTAAGAGTTTTCGGTTTACAGTATACATTTTGCCCAAATCAATCTATCCCTATAGGAAACTTTTTCATGATTTGTCTGATAAATTATACATATTTTGAAAGAGAAAAAGAGGGAAGGGTAGTACAAAGTATATGGGCCCAGGGCCACTAAAATTAAGTGTTTTTAAATCAGCAATAGGAAATTTAACTCAGACGATCTTTCTCTGCTTCAGAATAAAAATAAGTGCAATTCTCCTCAGATATTCTTAAAAATAAGCACTATTGTTCATAGAGTCGAACTGCAACGGAGCGATCCTTACTAAGAGACCAGCCCTATATCTTTATGAAGATATTTGAAAGCTGAGTATTTATTTGCATCAGGAAATCAGTACCCCTTACGAACACCAATTCCTTCACGGAATATATGCGTTTGTCTGACAAATAAAGACTGAAAGGAATACCCATCCCGCCTTTTTAAAACGATTACGTCGTTGAGAAAAAGGAATAGGAAAAAGTTTTTATCTTTGAAACACATAAATGTATTTTGGGGGTCACGCCATCTGCCCTTCCCCCCAGTTCTATCTGGATCCATTCAAATTGATTTCAGATTTTTCGTTGACTGTTATCTCAAGCTGCTTGAACTGAGACCACAAAACTTGTCAACCTGAGGAAAGAAACGGCTTTGTAAACACCTGTAGCTCAAGAACCCAGCCTGCATCCTGGAAACAACTGGTTCATTTTCTGCCACACCTTGTAAGAATACTGTTCCAAGGAAACAGCCAGGGAATATCTGGTTTAAAACGACCGATTTCCCAAACTAAGCTTGTTTCGTTAGGGGCGGAATCTTCTTTTTACTTAAACCAAGAAGAAGCCTGAATAAACGTATTTTCCAGTAATAGAGGGTAAGTGTCTACACTTTGGACAAGGCGAACTTCTATACAGTAAGACTTACTTCTGAGTAAACATACGGGTAAGATCGTTTTAGAGAACTACTTTTACACCTATTCGCGAGTAATCAGCAATGAACTCACTGGAACTATGTTACTCAACATAGGGTGGGACTGCTCGCTCCTACGGATCACTCCCGCCATCCTTCTTTCTGCAAAAAAGGAAATGGGATCGCCAATTCGCCGTTTTAGATGCTGCTTTTCTCTCTCTGACTTTTTTTTAAAAAGCCATTCTCCTAATAGATTTACGTTTAAAAACTCCCGGAATTTTTAAAATATCACAAGAATTCCAAATTTGTTCGGGGGATTGCGATTTGTTATCCTCATCCTACAGTTTGCTTTGGAAACCCCTTCCCTTAAATTCGGAGCACGATTCCGTCAAAGGCACAGAGGCATTTTTAGCTCCATTCACACCCCACCCCACCCCCCAACAGAAGGGAAGGTAGAAGAACAGCACGTGGCTGGCTCGAAATTCCAAAAGCTTTGGGCTGGATCGTGGCCCGGAACAAGCAAACTCTTTCTGATGAGCATTTTTTTTTTCCTTCGGCGACTGGGCCCCTGGCTCACCCATCGGATCCGCTCCACTTTCCCCCATCCCACACGACCAACCCTGCTTGCCTTCGTGTTTCCGCGCCCCAGACAGCAATCCCCCTCTCCTTTGCCTGGCCATCAATCCGCAGCGCGGCCTCCAAAGAGCCGGGGAGGCAGGTGCTGTGCCGAGCCCCCTGGAAAGCTCCGAAGGGAGAGAGTAGATCCCCTCCAATTTCCTACCTGGTCCGAAGTCACGCCCTTTCAGCCAGGAGGGGAGAAGGCGACAGCTGCTTTTCTCTCCCCCCCCCCCAAAGAGCTGGTTCTCCCGCAATCTGTCGCTGCCAGCGCGCTCCCTTTCCCTCGCCAGACCCTCTCCTCCCCCCCACCCCCCCACCCCGCGCGCGGACCCCCATCTACCAGTTGCTCTGTCCCCGCTCAATTATAATTACCCCGTCCAAGAATTAATTATAATAAATGTTTTCTTGATAAACTAACGAGATAATCCGGGTGGCACACGGCCCCTAATTACGGGACGGCTGCAACAGCACTCAGGATCATTTGGGTTGATTAATTTTCTGCCTGATGGCGATGAAAGGAAAAAAGGAAAAAAAAAAAAAAAAAGCCCAGCCCTAGCATCGACTGGTGGAGACGTTGGTGGAGAGCGAGCCCGCCGGCCGGCGCTGGGCGCTTCCACTGACGCCAGGGAGATGGCCAAGCCCTCCGCCTAAGACCCTCCGTCCTGCCCCGAGACCCCCGGCGCCAGCTGCCCAGCAAACCGCGCAAACCCCCACCCCCCAGACCCTCGGCGCAGTGGGGCGCAGGCGACTCTCAAGCCGTTTAGCAAAGCGACGGCCAAGTCGACGCGCCTCCTTCGGCCTCCCGGCCTTCCTGCCCGGCCGTTTTTGGGTGGGTGGCGGGCGGGGACAGCTAGGACGGCGGAGCAGGCCTTCCCCACTGGGACGGGAGCCCCAGCAAGTCTCTCGGGGTGCAAAGTCTAATTCGCCCGTGGGCCCAAGAGGAGTCGCTCCGGCTTGGGCCGCGTCGAGCGCGATCCTGCCCCAACTCGCTAGCTAGGAAGTTTTTCTAGGCAAGGTTACGGTTTGGGTTCTCCTTGCCTCGTTTCCCCAAACAAATCCAAGCCCGCCAAGCCCTCCGCCCTGAAGCAGCCTGGCGGAATCAGCCACAGGCCTGACTCCCGAGCCTCCCGCGGGAATCGGGGGAGTTTGCTGGGGAACAAATGGACCGGGATGAAAGTTTTAGTTGCCTTTCCCCAAGCTGCCCGGTTAATTTGCGTCCCCTCGAGGAATAAAGCTGCAAGCCTTCCGACGGGGAAGCAGCCTTTTTTTTTTAAACTTTTAAGTTCACAGGATTAGCCTCGGTCTGCTCAAAAACCTTTAGGACCTTGGTTTGAAATACCAGCGGGTCAACGGCAGGGCCACGAAACGAGGTTACAGAAGGGTTTGACCGCCATCCTAAACTGAAATCCCGAAGAGCCTTGCTTTGCAACGAACGTCAAGCAAATCGGCGCGATTTCCAAGTAAACACAGTTTAACAATTGCGGGAGGGGAGCGGGGAGGGGGCAAAAATCGAATTCATTTCTAATGGGAGATACTGTTAAGAAAAGGGGAGAACGGAAGCGAGGCTAGTGGGGAAAGGCAACAAGGAGTTCCTTTCTGAGCAAATCTGCTTCCTTTCCAGGCGCCCACAAATCCCTCGCAGCCCACGATACAGCTGAAGATTTTGACGCGACAACCGTTTAGCAACACCTACCCTCTTTTTACGACTGTTGTCAAGATCCGCAGGGCAAATCGCGATTTAGACCTGCCTACAACTGCGGGTCTTTGAGAGAGATGTAGATCTGCTACACCTTCGCGGTTCTGGCGTTAAATACTAGAGAGAGACCGAAACGAATTCAAGAGTGGCGAGCACGCCCTGCGTGAGAAAATGCAAAGCTGCAAACACACCCCTTCGAAACCTTGTTTGGCTCACGCAACTATACAACAGTAGTTGTGCTCTCCCTACCCTGGCAGAAAAGGGAAAAAAGCAAACAAACCCCCGTTGAGAATGTTAGTGCCATTTCTCAGGCACTGCAAGGCGTTGTGTCAGGGCGAACTTTTTGGAAACCTTTAAACTAATTCTCGCTGCTTTGAGTCTTTAAAGCCGGCATGGCTTGAGTGTAAAGAAGCACCGACAAACCGAGAAAGATGCAAGATTGGTGAGATTGGTTGGTTGGGGGGGGGGGGAGTCTTCGGAAGTAAAGGCCTCTGGCTTCCGATAGGGCTGCCTTCCAAAGAAGGGTTTTTGAAATGGGGGGGGGGGGAATCAGTGCAAAACTCCAAAATCTCTGGAGTCTACATTCTGGCTGGTTTGCAGCCCTGAGGAACCATAGTGAAATCTAAGCACCCAGCAACATTCTCTTAGCTGGACTGGATTTCTCTTTTCCACTGCAGGACAAATTGACTGATTTTCCCTCCCTCCCTCCCTTCCTTCTCTAAATTTGCTAAGTTGTCTAGTAATACCATTGGTCCAAGAATATCAAGGCTGGACTGGGGAAGAAATCTCTTCAACAGGATCCCACCTGGCCAGACTCCCTCCCTTCAAACTCAGCCTTTTTTCTCCCCTTTCCACCAGTTGAGCCGAGGTTTTCCTTTGGGCACTACAACTCTTTCAAGTACTTGAAAATCCAATGCTGTGTGTATGTCAAATGATTTTTAGTCTATTGATCGGGCTGTCAGAGATAAACTATTTATCAATAACTCGTGAGCTAGGTGGATTTAATTTCCTTCTCTCTCCCCTGCCCTGCCCTTCCATGGAGACAAGGAAAGAAAACACCAGTCGTGTGTGTGTGTGTGTATTATATGTGGGGAGAGATTCTGTTGGCTGCACACCCCCAGCTAAACGTCGCCTTCCTCCGTAGGGATCTTTGTTCGCCACTCATTTTAAAATAAGCTAATTGTAAACCTCTCTCTCTACTCAGAAGTAGTCCCAGTTCAGTTCAGTAGGGCTCCGGATAAATTGCGTCCTTTCTGTCTAAACCTCTCTGAATTCAGACCAATTTGCAGCCGACAAAAGAAGACAGAATTGGGCCGAATTTTAAAAAAAACAAATCTAAGGGGATTCTGCAGGGGAAACGCACAAGCGCGCACCAACACACACACACACACACACACACACACACAAAGAGACGAACACCTCACTCTGCACTATTGAACGATTTCCCCCCTCCCCCCCGACAAAAGAAAAGCGATTATGCTGAAGGAGCCAAGCAGGCCAGAAAGAGTGTAACAAAACAAACAAACAAACAAAAACCGTTTAGTTTAGGACTTCTCAGATTGGTGCCTTTTTTTCCCCCTCAACCTCCAGTAACAACTTTTTACGGCACAAAACGACCTAATCGCCGATCCTGGAAAAGGCTCCGGGCACAGGCGCGCACCCAGCTCGCTAGAAAACAGGAGCCCCGTCAGTTTCAGACGAACTTCGAAGATATTCGAGAGTCTCTGGGGGAGGGGGGCGAATGGAGGGTGGAGGGGGGGACACGATTTGCACGAGAGTCCAAAACAAAGAAACAGAAGCCTTCCCTTCAAACACCCCCCCCCCCTATTTTCCAAAGCCAGGAACGCAAAAATAAAAGGCCAACTCTACAACCGCGACTGGCTGGCGATGTGTGCCGGCGGAGTGTGCGTGCCATCCTCTCACTTACCTTAAAGCTTCTGGAAGAGCTGCGAGTTAAAAAAAACAAAACCAAAACGGGGTGGCCAAACCGCCTGGCCGAGTGATCCCGAGGAGCTCCCAAAGCAGAGTTTTTTGTTTTCTCCTACAAAAGAAACCAGAGGGAAGAGGGTTAAAAAAAGACCCTTCCTCCCAGACAGCTGCCTTCTCGCCTTCCTTTTTTTCTTTTCTTCCGGCGATGAAGATGAAGGTGGCGATTGGGGTAAACGGGGATGAGGATGCGATGGTGTGGGAGGAAGGAAAGGGGGCAATCCGGCCAACCCGCGACCCGCTTCTTAAACAGTAAGGCAAAGGAGAATAATGGTTAAAAAAAATATATACCAAGCGCCCTCTCTAAGCCCCCCCTCCCCTCTGGCGAGCGGAGGGGCAGGAGGCGCTGGAGCGAGGTGGGACTGGACGGGGGGGGGCGGGGGCCGAATGGTGGCGAACGCGGGGCAGCCGGGCTCTCTCGCTCGCTCGCTCGCTCGCTCGCTCTCCCGGCTGGATTTGCTGCACAAGCGCTCTCGGGCAACTTTTTTGACGGCGGCTCTCCAACCAATGGCGAGCAGGGAATGATTGACACATCTAAGCCAGAGGGAAAAGAATAAAAACAGACAACGGGGGGAAAGGAAAACAGGGGCCCAGCTTCGCCGGGGGGGGGGGACAATCAGACAACAAATAACAGCTACTTTTTTTTCCAGAAAGAGACACACAGGCGGGCACATAAAAATATACCAGGAGAAAAGGCTCCCCCTCCCTTCCCTTCCCTCTCCTGCCTTCCCTTCCCCTCCCCTCCCTTCCCTTCCCCTCCCCCCCCCACCCTTCCAGCCCTCCAGCCTTCGGAGCGCTTCTGACTGGAAGCCCCTCAAGTCGCTGGGTGGACAAACCAGGATCGGGTTACCCCCATTTGCTGCGGGGCAGAGAAAAAGGAGGATCGCTTGAAGGGCAGAGAGGAGAGATGGGAGCAATTAGCACCTTGATCATATAAATAAATATCAGGACGTGGGTGGGGAAATCGGGGGGGGGAACTCCCTCTTCCAAGGGAAAGCGGTTAGACTTGAGGTCGTGGCATTCCAGTCTTAAATAGCTCGGCTCCCGAGAGTCATAAGAGGGAAGGAGAGTCGAGTCGTTGCGGTTTTTCTGGCGGGTAAAGAAGATTCCCCTCCCCTCTTCCACCCGCAGCCTCCCAATCTCCGCAAGCCAGTCAAAATGGGCAGGATAAGAGGACGGGGGAGGTGGTGGTGGTCAGCCTATTTCTCATAGACTTGTGACAGAGATTACATGGCAGTCCGCGGTTGCGTTCCCCGGCTGGGTTCTCCCAACCTGCTTAAAGCCTTTCGTGAGGCTCCCCAGACGCGACCCCAGTGGAGTAAGACGCGATCTCCCCCAAGAAAACCGTCAGGAAACGGCTGGTTTCCCCCAACCCGCTGACCTAGGAGCTACCCGGATCCACCTTAGCCCGGGCGAGCCTGCGGTGGGAACGCGGCCAGCGTGGCTGAGACCGAGCCAAGCAGCGAGTGCGGGTGCGCCTGTGTGTAGCCTACCTGCGCAAGGAGGGCTCGCCTCTTCTTTGCGGGCGAGCCTTTCCACGAGGGAGGTGAAAGTCCTGAGCGTCAGTGGGGGAGGAGCTTCCCTTACCCTCGCCCCCTCCGCGCTTGGGAGTCAGAACCTCTGGACTCGGGCGGACTTCGTTCCGCGCAGACCTGCCTAAACTTGCAGCCTTCAGCCACTTGCCCCCAACCGCGGCCCCCCAAAGTCGATCGGCGACGGCGGCTAATAAAGACACATTACATTGGGGAGATTAAAACCACCACACTCGCTCTCGCCCACCCCGAGCTGGCCCCCAGGACTGCCACGCGTTGGGTTTCCGAAGAGGCTTAGTTGAGGGTTTGTGGGTATTTCAGAGAGGGCATTTGCTGGCCTAACTCACGGGAAGGCCGGGCTGAAGGCGAGCAAAGAAAATCCTAGCAGGGCGCAGCGCCTCAGTCATAGTCAGTCCTCTCTTAAGCCCGGCGCGTCTCCCTTCCCGGCGAAGTTGACCAAAGACACGGCTCTCCTCATCCCACAAACTACAGAAACTTTCCTGCCTTGGTGGATCGGCGTGTCCCGTCGAGGAGAGCCCAGAAGCCTCGGCGTCACGAGGCATTTCGAGACCCAGAGAGGTTTCGACGGATAACCTCCTGAGCCATTCCCACGACTCGAGGCGGGTTGCAGATAGAGACGCGGGACACCGAGGTCCTTGAAACGGAACGCGAAGAAACGAAATCGACTTACATCAAATTCGGATCCTGGAGGTCTCCCTCCGCTTCTTCTTCAACGCGGAGGGAAGGAGGAAAGGTGCTTGCTACTGTGCTTGGACGTATCCCTCCCGAAGCCTAAAGCCAGTTCATTCAGAACCTCAAATGTTAATTGCTGCATTCACACAATGCGCTTAACCCTTACTGAATTAACCTATGTCTTGGGTTCGTGTTATATGTCTAAATTAACCAGAAAGGCCGGGGTGACCCAGCACACTAAGCCACAAGAAGCAAAGCGAGGTTAACTCTAGGAGGTTTCCCCGAGCGGAACCGCTGATCTGAGTTGTGTGAACTTCTCTGGCCGGGAGGGAGTGGCTCCGTTTCAGAACGAATCCTCCTCTGATTCATCTCTTTAGGACTTTTCGCGTTCTAGCAATTTTTAAAAGCGCCCCTTTATGTTAATTCCTGGCTGGGCCCTGTCTCAAGCAAACGACTTTCCCACCGCAATAAACTAATTCTCGCAAACTACCTAGTGGTTTCCTTCCTTCCTTCCTTCCTTCCTTCCTTCCTTCCTTCCTTCCTTCCTTCCTTCCTTCCTTCCTTCCTTCCTTCCTTCCTTCGCTGCTTTTCCTTTGCATGGTCTATTTCCTCTGCGGGCATTTTCCATCTCTTCAAACTCTGCCCTGCCACGAGGAGGGGACGGGAGACAGAGACTTTTTCGCGGCAGGGAGAGCAGGAAACGCTTGTTACTGGGGATTCCCTGGCAAAAATCTCCGGTATCCCTGCTTTGATTTTGGTCAAGAAGCCGAGGGCGATGGGCAGAGAAGGGCGCGGGTGATTCGCTTTTTGCCCAACCCTTTCGGCCTGGATCGCTTGGACCACTTCCTCCCGACCCCACTGCCAGCTCTGGGTAAGGAGTCTCTTCTCCTAGTCTTCTTTCAGCTCCGAAGAACCAGTACGATTCCTTAGGACCACAGTAAAGGGGGGGGGGAGGGTGGAAACGGCTGGGCTGCTTGTTGCGTTCCTTGTGTTTGATGTGTCTGTAACTGCGAGTATAATATAACGAAGTATATTAAAGTTCAGCTGAGCGTCTTGCCCTGGACAAGTTTTTCTGGTGCGCGGGACTCTCCGATGCTACTTACAAGTTGTTTCTTGGAAGTGAGAAGCCTTCTCTTGGCACCAAACTGGGGCTTGGGAATGCCAGCCAGGCTGGAAGCAAACTTCAGGGAGGAGATCTCGGGAGAGAGAAAGTGAAAGGGAGGGGACGAGAGACAACGAGGATGGGGGGGGGAGAGAGAGAAGGCGCACTAAATGAAACTGGACGCCACTTCGCATCACTAATAGCCTTGTAAATAAATACCTTTTGGGGAACACACACACACACACACATTTTATATGGGTATATATTTATAATGTGTCTACGCACACACACACAAGCACACATATACGCGCCCACATCTGTCTACATAAACCACCCGTGTCCTGCTGTAATTGCAGAGGCGTTCTTGCGTGGCCGTGGTCTGAGGTTGCGAATGGGAGCCATAAGCACTCAGGCCGCCTTTCTCCCACCCTCCTTCCCCTTTGCCATTATCCCGCGGCCTTGAAATAAAGCCGGGGCCCAGAAACCGACTGTGGAGTTTGTGCGCCTTAAATAAACAACAGGTCCCTCTTTAAAATTCTCCATCCACTCCAGATGTCTAAAAAAAAAAAAAAAAAAGCAAGATCGCGATGATTTTGTCAGGGTTTGGTAAATTTACCCCTTTAAGAGGCTTTCATAAATCCCAGAACACACCTTCAGCCAGATTTGAATATAGATTTAGGTTTTAAAACCCAGTCGCAGGGAACACGGCTCTATCAAAGAGAATTTCCCCCGTTAGCTTAGCCATATTGGCGTCCGTAGGGCTCTTCAGGGGAAAAAGGAGGGGGAGGCAGAAAGAAGGAAGGAAGGAAGGAAGGAAGGAAGGAAGGAAGGAAGGAAGGAAAAGGACGAGGCGGGAAGAAAAAGAAGGAAGGAAAGAGAAAAAGAATGGACTTGAAAGGAAGAGAAAGGGGAGAAGAGAGAGGGGAAAAAACGGTGGGTGTGTATCCTAGAGGAATCGGAACCAACTTTGATTTTTTTTTTTTTTTTTTTTTTTGGAGGAACGGCCATTCACACTACCGGGAGTTTTGCAGCGGAAGTGAAAGTTACAGATTTCTCGCGGATCGGCAGGGTGATTTTTTGGGGGGAGGGGGAAGGATGCGCCTGGATCCCTTCCCCCGCCCCTGCGCATTTCTAATCCCCCCCCCGGTCCACTTGGAAACTCTTTAGAGTCCCAGCTGAAATCCAATTTGGATCTGAAGGAACTGGAATAGGGTCCAACTTTGGCGTCGCTGCTGTTTTGGGGACGGGAGAGCGCGCCCACCTTCTGTGAAGTAAGTGACTTTGCGATTCTCCGTCCCGCCAGCTGTTTAAGAGACCCTGGCTCCTCTCTCTTTCTTCTACCTTGCCCTCCACTCACCCTTCCTCTTTCTCTCCCTGCGGACACTGTCCCCCCCCTCCTCCACCTTAGTACTTTTCCGCACTCTTTCAAATTACCTTGGGTCCCCCCCCCTTTGGGAGGGAGGGGGGAGTGAGTTTCCTCGACTTTGTAAGCTCTCTGAGTCTGCGGTCAACTGGAAATGGGACGGGGGAGTGGGGACCTTTTTTCAGAAAATAGGGATGCCAGTGAAATACGCACGTCTTCTACGCTAGCCCTCACTCCTCTCCGGAGCACGTTTGCAACAGTTTTCCGTGCTCCCCTTTTTCGGAATGGGGGACTTGCCACCCATCCTTCCTACCGACTCCGGGAACGTTGCGCAGCCAAACGGCTTAACTTTCTTTGAAGCTGAGCAACGATTTCTCCCTCTCAGCCAGAGCGGCGGCAAACTTGGGCTCTTTCTATGCTTGCTTTCTAACCCCCAAACCGTAAATTAGGGATTAGGAAAGGTCAAGAGATACTATAGCAAACCAAAGGGGTGGGTGTGGGAGGTGTGTAGTAACCAGTTCCTCAGGAGAGTTGGCAATGAGAAGTTGCTTCCACCTTCCTTGAAGTTGAGGTGCCGACCTTCGTTTCTTTCTTTGGAAGGCTAACAAGAGCCTGGAAGAAATTTGGGGGGGACAACCAATCTGCCTCCCCCACCCCGGCACCTCTCAAAGGCAGCCTGGCCGAGAGCGCGCTTGGATTTGCGTGGGTTTCCTAGCTGTGACCCATCCGGAGATTTGGGGAGCGGGGCGGGATGGGGACGCATCCTGAACGATTGTCTCCCACCACGTTCCTCCCCTCCCCCCAACTCCTAATATGATCTCTTAGCGTTCTTTTAACCTTGGTGCAATGCAGCGCGCGTGTATCAATGGTGGAGAGAGTCTTTACTTCGGTTACCAAGTCCCAACTCTTCTCCACTCCAGTATCTCCCTTTAACACAAAAGTGGTCGGGGCTTCGCCCTCGTTCTTCCTTCCTTCGGAACGGCGCGGAAAAGGCGGGCAGCGCGCAGAGATGGTTGCCCCTTGGACATGGTGGCCCCGTGGGAGACAGTGAGCAAAACCCGATGAGGGGCGCCTACGGCCGTGCAAGCAGAAGGTCTGCCATGCCAGGCTTCCGATCCACAAGTCCCCTCCCTCCCTGCCCAGGCTTATGGAGAAGGTTAGCGCCCTGGCTCTGATTTCAAGCTGGATTTTCAAGGAAGCAGAAAGAGATCACTTTCCCCACCCCAGCTGCACCATAAAAAAAAAAAAAAAAAAGAGTTGAAACCTAGATCCCAAAATCAGAAGCCGAGCCTTACTGCCGAGGAAACTTTGCCCAAGAGATCGAGGCCCTAAGAAGAAGTCGGGGGAAACTTCAAGGACGGAGGCAATTCAGAGCGCCGTTCTGTGGACTTAGGCTGGGAAACAGGCAGGTTGATCTGAGAAAGATATTCCACAGATTTATGGCGAGGGGGGGGAGGGGGACTTACCAAAAATCAGGGAGTGAAGGTCTCTTCTGGTGCAGCCCTGGGCTTCTCGTGGTCCACAACATTTGGTTTCAATTTTGGCGTCGTTTTGACCCGCGCCTTTCTTTTAGCACTAACTTGAAAAGGAGCGTTTGAAAACTCGCACACTATTTTGTGACCTTTTTAGTCGGCCCTAATCAAATTGCTAGGCAACTATGGACGGAGGAGTTTTCACTTGGATGGGGCATTACTCCCTTCCTCTGCCTACTCTTTTCCCCCCCGTCCCTCGTTTGACACAGCTAACCCTTCAGAAGAACCAAAAGCCAGGATAAAAAAATGACCCACGCGGCCCTGGGATTTTCCGGGGCTCGCTAAACTTCGTAGCCAAGCAAGAAAAGGTAGAGAAAGAAAGGAGAAACTAGCCAAGTCGGTTAAGGAAGAGCGATCAGAAAGACACCAAGGCTACCAGTGAAGAGGTTTGAAATCTTCTCTAATATTTTCGTTTGCTACTTTTCCCAAGCTTTATTTTCCTGCTTAAGGGGGAAAATCGTTTTGCGAGAAAGGTCTATCCAAGAACTTGCCCCCCTCCTTTTTTCAGATTTTTAATTAGGCCCCATCAATTATTTGGAGAATCGATATCATATAATCCAGGGCGAAATGGGATAAGATTTTAATCAGAAGAAAGGGTGTTTGTGTATGTGTTGTTTTTTAAAAGCTTCTAACTGATCAGAGGGGTGCATTTACTTCAACACACAGGCAAAAATACCACTTTCCAAGAGAGAGAGAGAGAGAAAAGCAGACTGAGGTGTAAAAAGTGACAAAAGGGTGTAAAAGATAACAAATAGAGATGCACAAAACATTAGTAGACCTTTCTATTTTCTTCGGAAAGTGCTCTTTCAGGATGGCTTTTTTGTAGGTTTTTTTTGTTTGTTTTTTTACATTTCCAACTTATACCTTCACAAATTATTCCTCTTTCTCTCATTCTGTCCTAATCAAAGGTACTATCTGATTTTCAAAATAGTTGACTCGTAAAAGGAATTAATGTTGCTTTTAAAAAACAACAACAGCTACATGTAGGAATGGGAATAATTCCATTTTCCCCCAATGTGTTCTTCCATAGAGGAAAGGAAAAGGAAGGAGGGAGGGGGGGAAAGAGTTATCTGTGCGTTTTTTTATAGTTCTTTACATTTTGCACCAAGAAAATATCTTGAATCGGAGGTGGTGGCGGGACTCGGCCTTCCCTTCCCTAACAGAACAGAGGGTTAAATGTTACAAAATCACGGAAAGACAAATCTCCTTAATTGTGCTATAAAGGTATATAGTATTGGGTGGGAAAACTTTTTCAAATTTGATAACCTGGTTTGGCTGGACAACAATCATGATAAAAACATCCTCGTCCAAAAAAACCCCCAACCAAAATAATTACAAGAAACTCGGAGCACGCGGCTCGATCTTTCGAAGTTATGCGGTGCTTCTGCCTGACCAAACCGGCCGATTTGTTCTCCAAAAGCGGAGCATTAACCCAAGAGATAGAGAGAGAGAGGGAGGGAGGGAGGGAGGGAGAGAGAGAGGCCATTTCAAGAGCTCCATCTCCCTGGTATTTAATGTATGCAAACCAAACCGAGCTGGGAGGGGGGGGGAATGGAAAGAAAACAGCCACCACGACGGCAGCCGAAGTTTATTGGAGAACCGCCGCTCAGTGCGGAGGAAAGTTGGAGCGCAGGAAGGCGGGGTGTAAACCGAATAAACAAATGAACAAAATAATCGTCCGCCCTTTTGCACCCCCGCCCCAGCCCTAGCCTCGATTCCAATCAAGGGGCTAAAAAAGCAAGTTCTGTGATATATAATGTTCCGCTTTAATCTGAAAGAAGCGGCTGTGGACACATTGACTGCTCCCCGGGCTTATTGTATGAAATTCCAATTTATTTAAAAGCGTCCTGGTTTAATAATACCCAACAAGGCCTGGGCATTTAGTTCCCTCCCTCTTGGACTTTCCCCCTAATCAGGTCTAATGAAAACGTAGGATTGCCCATTATTTTGGCCTGGAGGTTGAGGGGCGGGGGGGGGGACGCGGAGGAGGCAGAGAAAGAACAGTGGAAATATCATGTATTATCCTTAGGACAATGGACGGTCGGGAGGGTGCAAAGCAGCTCTTAATTGAAAAAGGCAACCTGGTTTTAATGTCGCGGTCGAGGAGAAGATTACGGATTTGATTCAAACAAGGAGTCAATTAATAAGGGTGGGCCAGAATTAATAAGGGTGGGCCAGAACGTGGCCATTAACCCCAATGGGATTGAGCGTGGGAGGGGAGATCTTCTACCTGGGCCTGGGGGCAGCGATGACCCTCTCGCACCCATCTTTGTAGCTCAGGGTTAAGATGAGCTCAGAGAGCACCAAGCACCCCTCGCGCCATCTTTACCATCTAATCCATTTCACTCTCAAGACCAGGGCCAGCTGAAGAGGAGTTTAGTCTTTGTTGTTCTCTCTCCTTGCGTGAAGGTCGCAGTTTTGCAAAATTGAACCCTCCCTTCCTCTGATCCCAGCCCTGCTCTTTCCAAAGAATGCCTTCTAGGCAGCCTCATCGCTAGGCCCAAGAGAGAACTGGCCCAGCGCAACCCTGTGCCTCTTTTTCCTAGGAAAGTCCCGCAGACCTTATGGGGGGGGGAGTCGGTCGTGAACGGAAGGGAAGGGGGACCTCAGGATTGCGCTTCCAGCAGGAATAGGCAGCATTTTTCAGTTCCACACCTGATAAATCTCTCCAAACGCTCCGGGCTTAGATAGCTATACTTTGCAAAACCAGCTGGCTTTTGCTTTCGGGTTTTTTTTTTTTTAGTGTTTTCTCCAGATTAAACAAAAGATCTCTCTAAAATGTCGAGAAAAGGTGGGCGCCTAGCAACGTTGGTCTTCTACAAACGGAGTTTCCTGTCCCAATCGACCTCCGGGATCGCACTTGGATCCCGGATCCAGATTTCGAAACTTTGTTAAAGTGCGACCCTGAGCAGATTCATGTGGCTGCAAAATCCATTGACCTGGGCGAGCAAAAGGCCTTACTGGTTCCAATAGGGCAGTCAAAAGAAGCGATCCTACATTGTGCGGCTCCTCCACTGATCTCCTTGGATCAAATGGCGTTTCCTCAGCCCACGAACGTCTCTCGAATCTGCCACCTCTGGATGCGCACTACAGGCCGTCGATCCAAAGAAGGGTTTGAGAAGGTCGGGTGGGGAGTAGCGACTGCCGCTTCAGCCTTTGGACAGCAACGGAGGCGTCAATTAATAGGCTGAAAAGAAGTCCGGTTCAATCCCGGGATTTGGGCTGGGAATCGGTCAAATGGACGGCCGTGAAAACGGATGGCTTTAGAAGCATACCGGGAAACATCAGCGGTCCGAGGAGAACGGCCTAGGCAAAAGGGGAATTTGTGGGGGCCCCAAAACCTCTTGTGGTCCCGCTGTTTTAAATCCGGGGCAACACTCAGTTGGATCCACTTGCAAGTTGCAGAATTTCCGGAATTGGCTTCCTATTGTGTGTGTGTGTGTGTGTGTGTGTGTGTGTGTGTGTTGTGGAGGGAAAGGGAGAGGGAGGGAGGGAGACAGGGAGGGAGAGGGAGAGGGCTTTCTGAAAGAAATGCATAACACATACACAGACACACACACCACAGACATACAGGTAGTCCTCGACTTATGACCACATTTGAGTCCAAAATTTCTGTTGCCAAGTTGTTAAGTGAACTTTGTTCCATTTTACGACTTTTCTTGCCACAGTTGTTAAGTGATCACTGCAGTTGTTAATAACATGGTTGTTAAGTGAATCTGGCTTCCCCATTGCCTTTGCTTGTCAGAAGGACACAAAAGGGGATCACTTGACCCCGGACGCTGCAACCATCATAAATATGAGTCAGTTGCCAAGTGTCTGAATTTGGAACAAGTGACCATGGGGATGCTGCAATGGTGGGAAAAACAGTGATAAGTCACTTTTTTTTCAGTACCCTTGTAACTTTGAATGGTCACTAAATGAACTGTTGTAAGTCAAGGACCACCTGTATAGGGAGTTCTATTGGCCTTCCCATTGAGAGATTCAGAGCTTCTCTGCCTCATCCAGCCATGGCTGTGTGGAGAAAGTATAAGCAAGAAAGACCTCCTATTGCTCCAGTGATAATTGCATGATACTATAAATCATTAGTGTGGAAATGGCCTGCCTTCATTACTGCAATATTAGCACAGCATAATGGGGTGATATTATAAGATGTTGTAAATCATAATGAAAAAAAAACTTCTATTCCTTCTGGCTTCAGCCCTGGCAACTTGACTGAAACATTTTTTCTCTTCTCTACAAACCGTCTTCTTTTCCACCATGTTTGGGCTAGGCCAAGGGTAGGCAACCTTGGCTCTTTTATGACTCGTGGACTTCAAATCCCAGAATTCCTGAGCCAGCATGGCTGGCTCAGGAATTCTGGGAGTTGAAGTCCACGAGTCATAAAAGAGCCAAGGTTGCCTACCCCTGAATTAAGTTCCCAAGAACAAGCCAGGAGTCTGTTGATCCCTACCCTCCATCTCTTCCTAACAAACCTGAGTGTTGTGTAGGAATCATGTCTGTGCCACACAGCATCATGGTTTTCTGGGTGCTCATCCTCTCTTCCCTTAACCTAGGTGGCAAGTATGTCCTAGTAAGATTCTTATATACCAAATCCTCATTACATTGTCTTGTTCCAGTCCCAGCCCAAGCTGAGATGATTTAAAAGATATTCATTTAATCTTTCCTCTCTTCTCCCAAGATAGTTTCTGCCAAGGACATTAGCTAGCATGCTTCATTTGGTCGATGATGGGAAGAAAGGCTGTCCAGATGTTGCTAGACACTTTTGGGTGCTACAGGCATGACCTCTCCCCTCTGACCATTGCCCCCTCCTCCTCCCCATGACATTTTGTTTTGGGTTCCAGAAGAGACTGGACTCTACATAATCTGCCCACATAATGTCTGACCAGAATTTTCTGAAGTTTTTGTCGGGTCTGCACAGAATTTATATATGGGTTTAATGCTATTTTAAAACAGCAACAGTCGTGCGTTACATAGAACAGGGCTTTTCAACCTTTTCACCAACTATACCACTTTTAAGCTATGGCAATATTCAAGTACCACCTAGCAAGGTGTCAAAAACTTGACCAAAAAACTCCCCAAAAAGCTGTTCAAAGTCGCAATTGCACTGAAATGACTTATGACCATTTTTCACACTTATGACCATTGCAGCATGCCCAGGGTCATGTGATTTATATTTGGATGCTTGGCAACTGATTCACATTTATGATGATTACAGTGTTCCAGGGTCATATGATCCCTTTTTGCAACCTTTTGACAAGCGAAGTCAATGGCAGGGCTGCTAGTAGCCAAGTGCTAAGGCAGGACTTCCTTCCCTCCCTCCCGCCCTCCTTCCCTGCCTCCCTCTTTCTCATGCCCACCTTCTTCTGAAGGAAGAATTTGAACCCCCCCCCCTATTTTCCCTCTTCCATATATTCATCAAACAAGGAAAAGCCTCCAGAGACAGAAAAGTGAAGCTGCTGAGGGAACTAGCTTAAAAAGGAACATTCCCCTTTAAGAATTAGCTACTGGCTAGAAAGGAAAGTTAACTAGCGCAGCCGGTACTTAAGAAAAAAAAAATGTAAATAAGTACTAGCTGCTGGCTAAGGCAGCCTCCCCAAATGGCTCCATTCATAAGTAAAAGAATGCTACAGGCAAAATCCATTCAGGAGAAAAATACTTCAAAATCCCTTGCAGCAAAACTTACAGCTAACAATAGCAGAACAATAGAAGCTAACAGGAAACATCAGCCATCAGCCAATAGAAATTGCCAAACACTCCTTAAGAACACAAAGCCCACACTGCACAAATCCCAGAACTTCAAAGTCACAAAAGCACATAAGAATTCTTCCATTCTCCATCTCCCCCCTCCCTGTCTTACCTCCAGCTGATGCTACCTTTCTTCATTCCTCCTGGAGGGCAACCCCTCCCCCACTGCATTTCTTGCCTGTTTGTTGCTGCCAGCACAGGTGGCTGGCACAGAAGTTGTAGATCGGCTCATGGCCAGCTTACTTGGACTCCTTGATCTCCTCTCCTCTCCCCCCTCCTCCTTCCCCTTCGGTGCAGCTAGAGTTGACTCCACATCCTCCCAAGGCTGTTTCTTTTTTTCCCTCTCCTGCCCAAACTTCCTCCTTTTATAGCCTCTCTTGTCTCCGCCCCCTCCTCCTCCTTTCTCATGGGGGAGGGTGAGCCAGAAGTGAGCCTGGGGTGAGGCTCAGCCTCAGCCACTCAGCAGCTCCAGAGGACTCTCTCACAGTAAGTCCTTGCCTGCGCTGGCTCTTTCCCTCCCCCACTACACTTGGCTAGCAGGGCTGCGTACCATCTGCCACTCGTTAATGTACCACAAGTGGTATGCGTACCACCGGTTGAAAAGCCCTGACATAGAAGACGAGTTTAAACCAGCAGAAAGAGACAGGTCTATTAAATGTATCTTGTTGGTTCTCTGCCACCAAGGACACATCATTATTTTCCCCATATTTCTTCCGACAATAGGCTTTGTGTGGCCCATACATTTTATTTGTTTGGGAGTAATTATGCTTAATATCATTGTGTCTAGCCCATCAGCTACTTCTGGGTACCGTTGGCCAGGACCAACATTCTCTTATAATGTAAGTTGAGGGGTGGAAGTGACAGATTACAAGCTTGGAGGAGGGACAGAGGCGAAGCAGGAGGCAGTTCACCCGATGGTACCTGAAATCTTCCTCCATGATTTTGACCTGCCAGTTGGGCTTTTCCTGAACATGGGTCTCATGGAAGAAGGAAGGGCATGGAGTGAAACAGGAGGGAATTTCAAGCACCCACCTACACTACTCTAACCGCCCTCCCCATTGTAGATTCATTGGTGGTTGCTCATTGAGAGAAGAGACAAAGCCAGGAGTATTTATCAACTCACTTTCCTTAACTCATCTGCCATTACAACTATAGAGACAGTGCCATATAGTAGTATAATAATTGAGGTGCTGTAGGATCTTGCTGTGGGATACCATTTTTTTTCTATCCACTCAAGGACCAGACTTAAATTTTAATTGGGTCACCTGGATGAACTCTTAGTGTGTGCAGGAGAGAAACACTATAGAGATCTGGGAAAAGCCAGTGAGAAAATCAGAAAAAACAAAAACAATTTGGCTTGGTTCCACGCTTCTAACAAAGATAAACTGGAATTGGTTGGGGTTCTGGCTTTAAAATCAATCTCACTTTGTTAATATAACAACTCTCAATGAGGAGGATCTATGTCTGTGGTGCCGCAAGTGTTGAGAGCACTAAACAGACTAGATATACATCCCAATACTTAGGTCTCCTCAAATTGGTGGGGCAAACATGAAATCTGAGAGAGACCTGGAGCAGTGTGAATATAAGTATATTTCCTTGACAGTGGCTGTCCCTAGATGACTTTGTCTAATATAAAAATGTCAAGCACAGTCAGGTCTGGTTAGAACTTGGATGGGAGAGCATCAAGAAATCCTTTCCAGCTCCTAGGCTAAAGTAAGAGAAGCAGTGGCAAACTTAAAAATATAGCAATACCAAGCAAGGAACCCCAAACTTGGATTTATCATCCAGCCACACCAAAAGATGAGTAAGTCCCTTGGATAGCAAGAATACTATAAAAGGCTTCACTTTGCATAGGTCACATCCAGTGTATTAGTTTAAAATATTTTAAAGAGACTGTCCATAAAAAGTTGCTGTGAAGCATTATAAACTGTAAATGTAATCCAAATCCAGCACAGAGAGATGAGCTGGGTGGAGCTGGGTGACCTCCACATTGAATGAATGAAGAATGAACAAATAAATGAATGAATAAATATTCTGTAAGAGATAATGGGAGATAATCAAAACAAAATTAAATTGCTATTTATATTTAGAAATCTAGATAATCCTTGAGCTCTGGATTGATTTGCTTTCTCCCTCTCTCTTATTCCTCCACCCACAAAAAAAGCTTCTTCCCTCAATAATATTTCAACTCTGGCAGGTATTTTAATGGGATGGGGATAACCTGAGCGCTTAGAGATTTCTGGGCTTTTAAAAAGGCAGATATTTCCCTTTCCCAACAGATAACCCTCTCCCAAGAGGCTGGCTACTTTGCCTTTGGCACTCCCTCCCATCTTGAAAGCAAAGAAGGGACCATTCCAAATTGCCTTCTTAAGAGGCACCCTCTCTGACAAGCAAATTATTTGAAGAGCAACAAACTGCCCTAATTTGGAAGATAATGCCAGGGGGTCGTGGAAGGAAGGGGGAAGAGGAATACAAGGCATGGGGAAAGAGGGGCAGCCGATTGCATAGGCAAGAGGAAACCAAGAGAAAGCTCGCTTGTGCCACTGGCCAAGCCAAAGAGCTGCTCCCCTCCATTCTGATCAGGTTGGAGGAAAAGTCTGGCAACAGGAGAAAGTCTTTGGATGAAAGATACCAATGTTTTCCACCTGGAAGCTTTTGCAAGCACAATGAAAATTGCTGCACCTTTCCCCTGATCATCCCGTCCACAGCCAAAAGAGTTTGTATGATAAGAGTTGTAAAATGGAGATCCCAGATTGGGAGGAAGGCTCTTCTAAGTGCAGGCATGTGGGTTTCCAGACAGGTTCTCTGATATTTAAGTGAATGTCAATATTTTTGTAATTTGAGTGCATTGGGTTAGTTCCAAAGGTTCTTTTCCAAAAGAAAACTGGGATTTCTGTTTTTTTTTTTTAAAAAAAAAATCACTTCTCATTCAAAAAACTTCTTGGATGAGAAGCGAAACATTTTGAAAGAAAGAAAAACAAGAAAGTTTTTGGAAAAGCATATTTGGGACAACCATGACCTGGATGATTGAGAATCTCCATAAACATGTAGATTTAGTTCCTTTTCCTTGGAGCCACAGAAAACATTTGCTTCATCATCTTACAAGGTTTGGGATCCTTCAGAGCTTGCTGAAAAACAACCTCCAGCAGATCCAGGATGCTGGGAATTGAGGTCAGAAACATCTGGAGGAGCTACAGGTTCTCCAATCTACGTGGTAGTTCTTCAGATATCTGAAGGTAACTATGACATTTTCTGATCATAAGTTCTCCAGAATCCTCATCTTGTTTCATGAGCCTTAATTTTCAGGTCCTTCACATCCTTGTGATGTTTCTACATATGTTCCAGCTTGTTGATATTTTTCTTAATTTCATGCCCAGAACTGGGCTATTGTCCTAAGGAAGTCTGACTGACAATGTTGTGTCTTATGATCTTGGTATGTATTTCTGTTGACTTTATATGGAGATGTGTTTAGTTTTTTAGCCATCACACCACACTGATGTTGCATCTGTTCAACTGGAATAAAAATATTTGAGATATTCTTTGGAAGCATGTATTTAACTGTGGTATGACTTCACCCAAAACACAGGACAACAGTTTGCAATCTGAAGAGCATTATATTGTGATATGACAATGTTGCAGTGTGGAAATGTACCAGAAATATAATAATCTTCAATGTAATACATTTATTTCTTCCTAATACTTAACAGTCTGAATTCACACAACACACTAGGCTAAACTAAAATGAGATTCAACAGCTTCTGGTTCAGACAATAATGAAAACTCACCCAGAAAATATTTTCAAATGGATTAACTCCAAGGTCTAGAAACAACAGAAACTTGCTACTGAATTTTAGCAGCAAACTGCATGGATGTTTTTTTTTTTTTTTGTGGCAAGGGAAAATGAGGGCGGGACCTGGGGGAAGGGTGAACATTTCTGAATGGCCAGAAAAGGCCTCTGAGTTAATGGTATTAATGGTATTAATCCATTCATAGTATTAACCCATTAGTGTGCATTGTTTGGCTGGATCGATCAACTGATTTCCTCTTAGTTCTGCTTTTTTGCAAGTTATATCTAAACTCTGGGATGTGATTTGCAATCAGATCCTAATCTGCATTTTTATGTATACTTGTAGGTGTTTATTTATATTTTTTCACAACAGCAGCCATCTATACCTTCCCTCCTGTGGACAGAAGCACAGTGATTTTTCCAGTTCACGGAAGGAAAGTCATAATCAGAAGACTTGCATTCTGCTACTTAGGCAAGGAAACTGTTGGTAGGAGCAATTTTTCATGCAAGTGAATTTCAGGACTATTATTGCAGGAAGATAGCTAAACATGGAAAGGACCTAGCCTGCTACATGAAGAAAGGTTTTGTGTGTGCAGCCAAAGTATCTGGACTGGGAGAGTAGAGGTGGTCCACATCTGGGGTCTCTGATCTCGGGGGCTTTCATCTCCATCCCCCTCGCTGGCTTTGGGACCCATCTGGCCAGGTGCCCAGGCCTCAAGGCCTAGGCCGCCACTGGGGTTCCTTGTCAATTTGTTGACACTGAAAAAGAGAAGACCATGTGGCAGATTTGGAGCTGACAATGCCGGCTCCTGAGCTTTTCTCCCTGCCGTTTGCCACACAAAGGCAGTGACGTGTCTCCTCCCAGCCTTTGCCAAGCCAGATTCCAGCCAGGCTAATCTCCAAGGGGGAGGCAGGAGCAGAGAGACCTCTGTCCCTCCCTGCCTCCTCCATTTCTTCCTTCTTGCTTGGAGTCTATGCCCAACAGCCTGGGCAACCATCCGTCAAGTAAGCTGAACTCCTTCTTGGCAGATTTGGCTGCCAGACCCAGCCATTGCTTCTGCCTCTTCCAAAAGGGGAACCTCTTGCTGACAGCTGAGCAGGCCTTGCCCAGCTCCACTCTGCAAATCAGTCATATCCAGAGACCGAGTTTGCAAACTGCCTTTCAGATGACCAGAGGAGTGCTTAGCCAAGTGAGCTGGTAGCAACCCTGAAGCCAGGCCACCAGCAGAAATGAACAGGCAAACAGGCAGATGTAGGGCCCCAATTAAGATCTTTTTTTGTCAGGAGGACCAGCTGTAAACCATCTGCTCCTTAGAGGCGCAGAGGGCTACGCTGACTCCTCTCTCCTGTGCAGACAGACAGACTGATGACTGTCCTAGTATCAGCCTTTCTTTATTTTTGCAGAGACATTTGAAGGCAGAACACTTTTAGGCAGAGGTTTTTTTCCTGCCCAGAAATGGACCAAGAATCAAACGCCCTTTATAGCTAGCTGGATGGTGGATTAGTCATACAAATGAAGTAGCAAAACCAGAAACGAACACTTTGAGCAGGGAAGGGGGATGATTGTATGCTAGACAAATAGTCCTTTCAGATTACCCTGCTGATATTTCAGAGTAATTCACATCTATTTCAGTGATATTGTTTAGAAAGGGCAAGTTCTAAACTTTCTGAGCTTCTCACCTTATTTTCCTTTGATGAATCTTCTCTCTTGCAGTTTTTATATTAAAATGCATGATTTCCTCCTAAAATGTGCAGTGAGGGAGAGGCAGAATACTAGAGATCTCTCAAAATACCACGTGCTAAAAAAGAAGAGACTTATTTTAAAAGAACAATAACAGGCATCAAAACATTGTCATAAAGATATGAATAGTACAGTTGACCTATTCTTCTCAGCAAAATGCATTAGTAGGACAACTAAGTATGAACAAGGCCCATGGCCAGGAGTGATTGCAGGATATGATTTTAAAAAATGTGAAAAACAGGTAAAGCTTTGGTTCAGGGGTAGGCAACCCTGCATTTGGTTACACCATTGCAGCCACTATCTTGACTTTTTGGAAGACCCTTGCATAAGACAGTTACACAAGACTTCAGAGAGTAAACTCCTCCTGGGGCAGGGAGAAACATAGAGACAGAAACATAAAAAAAAAACCTTTCATTTCAAAAGGAACACCATCACCTTCAGTTCAGAACCAGCCCTGGGACAAGTTTCCTATTTCCCAAAGCACTGTTTCTGCAATGAATTTCACAAGTGAAATTCACACTTAGTCCACTAATGTCCTAAGACAACAGTTCAGGTACTCTGTGTTCTTCCTGGAATCTAATGGAATGCAGAAATGAAACTAAATATTATTAATGGCCAGGCCCCACACGGATGTCCATAAAGAGGGCAAAAGGGCAATCATGATATCCCTGTGGCTTGTTCTAGACTCCTATGCACTTCAAATGTGTGGAGATCCTCCTTTAGCAGTTGATATTACAGTAAATGACACAGGGTACACCATGAAATTTAGTATGTTCTTCTGAGTTAGAGGTAACTATAAATGACCACTTTCCCCCCCCCCTGTTTTATTTTCCAAATCCCCAGAAATCATGTCATTAAATTTCAGTGGCAAATAATTAAGAAATGGCCAGAATCATTATACACACATATACACAAATGCAAAGCACGCACAAGTTGTGTAGGCCTCTTTTTAGGCTTAATACTGCAAACAGAAAGGAAACCAAGAGAAAAAGAAAACAAACCTCAAGCCCTCTCAAAGATTCCTCTAAAAATTTTAACCACACCTATTTTGCCAACATCACAATAATGTGGCCCTTGATCTTTCCTCTCCCAAACTGTGTCACGTGACTGAACAACCTTTTACTACTAATAGTCAAACTCTATTGAAGGCTGTGTGGTAGCTGGTCTCAGTTGAAACAAAATGCAGGAACAGAAAATTGATATTTTTGCTTCTGATGTTTTCTATCCCTTCCTTACATAACCAGCCTTTTCATCTCTTTGGGAATAGACAGCTAGTTCTTAACCAGCAGTCTGAACTGATATCTTGGAAAGAGCTTTAAAATTAGGCTGAACATGGATAGGAGCTGCAGTTGCAGTCTCCTGCTCCAGGGGATAGACTCATTTGAACCAAAATACATAAATTACATTGAGATTAAATATTAGGCAAAACTTCCTGGTGGTATGAGATACTGGATAAAGTAATGTACTGCCTCAGAAGTTGATTAAATCTCAACCTACTTATCAGAGACGTCATAGTAATGGCTTTGTTGCATCAGTCATAAGATTGGGCTAGTTGACCTTGGAGAACTTTTTCAGTTTTAAAATCCTAGGAATAGTAGAATGATAATGAACTTATAGTTGCCTTAAATAAAGGTTCATACAGAATATATATGTTAACCCTTTCTGACTCTCCTTCAAATATCCATGTTGGAAGAACTTTTTTTCAAATTGTGGAACTAGAAGAGTCCTGGAGATGGAGGGTGGTAGCCAAAGATCATCTTGTTTGGGCATAAGAGGTCAAGAGAACTTGCTCTCCCCAAAAGAAAGGGGCAACAAATTATCTTTTCACAAGTAGTACAATAACATACTGGAGATCATAAACTGTTTTTTTTAATATTATACTTCAGTCATGGCTTGTATGTCAGGTATCTATGCAAAGTTCAAGGTTCAGGCTTACACCTGAAGAACTTCATGCAGCAAGGCTGCAAACTGCCAGTAAGGAGCAATGAAGATAAAGATGATAGAATAGATATTTATGTTGGTTGAAAGAACATTTTTCAGGTTCTTCAGTGCAGTGATAAAATTGTTGGACTAGGGTTAGGAGTCCCAAGTCACAAACGTTTGCTAGATGATTTTGGATCAGTAGCTGTCAGTTCAAGTGTACCTGATAGAGTTATTATTGTGGAGAAAAATTGGAAGTATAAATGGTATTTATGTTGCATTGACTGCAAGAGGAATGGGGGATAATGATGATGACTTAAAACCAGGAAGTTGACATAGAAGGCAAAAACCTAGTCTTATCCCCTTACGAAACAGATTTTTTTTTGCAGAATGATTTTTGCAAATGTGGAAGCTTTTTTTCTACTTGCATCATAAAACTATATAGATTTGTACTGTACATAGCAAACAATCTCCTTGAATGAAGAAAGCATAATACTGATAATACATTTTTGTCATCGTTTTATCTTCCAGTTCTAATTCCATTTCTCTTTCAATTCCAATGCTATTTCCATTTCAACTCTAATTCTAAAAAGATCAAGACACCCAAATGCTGAAGATTTTGCTCAGACATTTTAAATTGGTCACCTTAAAAGATGGATCCCTATATACAGGTTGAATGAAAATATTAAAATTTGGAATATGAATAATATCCTGGTCTTCTCAGTATGTTTGGCATACTCATATACCCCTTTGGCCTCTCAAAGATGATTTGTAGAACCACAGGAGTGGCACCTCCAATTTTATCTCCTTGTGATATTGGTCTTGTTTCATCCATGAACTTTGATTTATGGAGCTTCATGCTGTTGTTTTCCATACCACAAAACACCTGGCAGCTGTAGACCATAATGGTTATAAAGATGGTCAAACAATTTAAGTATTACAGTATTAGGCCAAAGGCATTTTCTATTGCCATCACAATGGTGGATTGTGCTAAGGTTTGCTACTGTGGGAATAGAAGAATTTCTCTGTCTTTCTTTCTCTCTGTCCCTCTCCCCACCCCCCACCCCCACTTCTAAGGTTTGCTACTGTGGGAATAGAAGAATCTCTCTGTCTCTCTTTCTCTCTCTCTCTCTCTCACACACACATACATATATACACACACACACCTGAAATTATCCTTTAATGATGCTCTGCTGGACAAGTTTCTGTTCTAGGGCAGCGCTTGTAAAACCAGTTGACAAACCAAAACAGAATATAGAACAGTAACATCCCAGTTGAATGTGGGCTAGACAAGAACATTTTGGTCTTGATGCTTCCCTAGAGCAGAAGGATTCTGCACCATGAAGATCATCTAAAAAGAAAAGCATTTTTTAAAAAAAAATATCTGTAAAAACAGCCAACACAGTTCAGAGAGCCAAACTGCATGACAGACCCAGAAGCTAGTCAAAAGCTGCTGCCACTGTCACCAGCTCAACTGCTCATTCGGTTTGCCAATGGGCCAGATGCTGCCAGTTGCTTGGGAAGACTTCTCCACAGCTTGATGTCCAGGCCCTATGAGCTCCTTCCAAAAAGCAGCAGTGTGGCATGCTGAGAGGAAGGGAGTGCCAACAGCCCACTGCAAGTGTCCCCTCCTCCTGTTAAGAGTTGAGACTGGAAAAGGATCTCCTGAAATCTTTTTCATTTTCATGCAAAAAATACAGTTTTTAAACACAAGTTAGGATGTAACAGGTTCCTCCCCCCCTTAATTTCATGTATAAGTATACAAAGAATGATTAACTTGCCTAGGCTGTTAACTACTTTTAGAATTAAAAAGAAAACTATTTTAATTATATGTTGTTGAATATCTTGGGCATATCTGGGGCCATGATGGAATGGATCAAACTGCTTATACAGGTAGTCCTCGACTTACAATAGTTCACTTAGTGACTGACTGTTCAAAGTTACAACAGCAGTGAAAAAAAAAGACTTATGACCATTTTTCACACTTACAACCTGTGCAGCATCGCCATGCTCATTGTGATCAAAATTCAGATGCTTGACAACTGGTTCATACTTATGATTGTTGCTGTGTCCCAAGGTCACATGATCCCCTTTGGCAACCTTTTGACCAGCAAAATCAGTGGATAACCCAGATTCACTTAACAACCGTGTTACCAACTTATCAGCTGCAGTGATTCACTTAACAACTGTGGCAAGAAAGGTTGTAAAATGGGACAAAAAATCATTTAACAAATGTCTCACTTAGCGACAGAAATTTTGGATTCAGTTGTGGTTCATAAGTCGAGGGCTACCTGTAATAGATAAACAATGAGTTAATTTCCAGAAAAAGCTTGCAATATGAGCTGAAATGTGCTTGATGAAAAATTGTGATATTCTCTGAGATGTTTGGAGGCGAACGTACTTGTCTTTATGTTTCCCACAATAGCTAACCGGATCTTTTCCGTTGCAACTGATCCTGAGGGCTACAGCAATGGCATTCCACTTATGCTCTTGAGGAGCAGAGGCACACCGCATCCAAAACCCTCCATGAATTTGCTTAAAATTTTATTAGTAAGTCTTGTAATAAAGAATCCCATGCTCTTAGGTGTGAATATAACACTGTACCCCAAAATATCAGCTTTTTTCTAAAATGCACATTCAGGGGCCAAATGGCTTTGGGACAGTCAAAGACATACCTTTACTTTTCCAACAATGCTATTAATCAATTGCCTGGGGAGGTGGAGCAAATCAGTTAAGGGAAGGCAGTAGTTGTGGCATCATAATAGAAGTCCCATCCCTTTTGTTCATATATCAACATCATACACATTCATCAAGCAGTGAGACTTTCTTCTCAACTAACATCTTTCTGTTTTAACCTCCCTCCAGCTCCCCCCCCCCCATGGAAGCCTTGGCTCTAGTGTTGCATCCTGGGCTCTGCGTGAAATTTAACCAGCGGGCAGAAACTAAAGTCGCAGCTCTCAGAATTCACAGCAGTCTGCTTATTTTCCCACAATGCTCTGCAGCAACACTGCACAGAGGAACTATGGGAATTTTAAATGGCTGATCTTATCCCTAGCTATCTGAACTCTGAAGAATAAGAGCTACAAGGCAGGCATCGGTGTTGGGTATTTCTGGCATGTTTGTGCAAGCAGGTTCATATCTGCTCGAGCAGAAACAGGATTCAAAGTCAGCAGCAGCCTCGGTTATGAGTTTGGTGAATATGCTTGTGTGAACGTGCAGATATGCTGTACTTGAAGTGTGCATCTTGCTGAGAAAAAAGGTGAAAGGAGAGAGGGTGGAAAAAGGGAGGGAAGAACAAGTGCTTAGAAATGGAAAAGGTTGCAAAAAGTGTATGTGTTTGTGTGTGTGTGTGTGTGTGTGTGAGAGAGAGAGAGAGAGAGCGAGATTTTGAGGTTTCTCTTTGAATGATGCTCATAACTAATTCAATTTAACTCTATTTAAGCTGGACCCCCATAAGGTGACCAACTTTTTTACAATGAGAAGGAGGACACAAATAAATTGAAGAAAAAATATTGTAAATAAAACATTTTATTCCTTGCAACAATACAGAATACACTATAATATGATAAATGCATAATAAAAACATTTGTAACAATAACATTTTATATTGTAATTATGCTTACATGCCTATTAATTATTATTTAAATGAGTACAAAAGAAGGACTGTGCTCCCTAAAGGAGGACGATTGGTCACCTTAATATTTTACATCAAAAAGTAAAAATTATATCATGTAATAGATTCTACAGCTCTTGGATAACTAACTAAATGCACAGTCCAGCTATTTTCTGAGAAATCAAGTGTTGCCATGTCTCATACAAATCCTTTCACTACAGCCAGCAAATTTGTTATTGTTAAGATTTAACAGAGACTTTTTGACATGCAGATCCACAAACCATGAACCCCAACTCTTCTCACACCATGTTCTAACTTGTTGTATGTTTAGTGTGCGAGGACAGAAGCTGAATTATGCAGGTTATGCAGGAAAGCATCTTTCCTTTGGGTCTTGGAAAGCAACTGTCCTCCACAGTAAACCAATATTAATCTTGTTTTCCAATTCTGTATGTGAGGGATACTTTTATGTTCCAATCTATAAATTAAAAACCTGTTTCTTCATGATATAAGCCTTAAGTTGCAATGCTGGAGGAATTTTTTTAAAATTCTCAGTGGAATGTAGAATAGAAGAGAATAACAGATTTGGAAGGCACCTTAAAGGTCTTCTAGTATACACCTTTTATATTGACCCAAATGCATTCAAGACAGTTTTCATCATTGTTGTTCTCTATTTCTATAGAGATATAGTTATTTTTTATATATAGTCCAACTCCACTTCCTCTTTTATTTGGTCTGTTTCTTTTAAATAATTTAAATCCCTCTAGCTGTGTGTTCCATTTGTGGGTTTCAGCCACATATTTGAATATCATATCTGCATTTACTTGAATTTCACCCTGTTTACTCTCTGCGTTAGTGTATAGACATTTGACTCCTATTTGACTGACCCTGTGTTTACTTTCTACATAACCTGTGTGGTACTTACATCCTTACCACTTATTTGATTAGTCTTCGTATGGAAATCAGTATTATAAGCTTGATTTTGCTTGAGAGCAAGGCTGATATTCTTACCCGCACAAATATCTATGTATAAAGTTTAGTATTATCTACAGACAGAAGACTGGAGATTTTCCTATCTTTATGTAGGGACTGAACCTGAAATTGTCTACATGCAAAAGTGATGCTATACCGCTGTGATAGAATTCCTTTTTTATAGGTTAACAGTTACAATTTATAAAAATAGATCATGTTGTGATGGCTCTCCCCAAGGATACATTGATCCTCTGACAACTGGATTAATTTTGATCTAGAGAAGTGATTATGCTGGCAAATCAGCTCTGATCTAATTGGAATAATTGATCTGATCTAGATTGCCACTTGGCTTCCATTCAGAGATTTGAATTGATCTGGGAAATTTGATCCAATGCTTTGACTTGAAACAATGAAACATATTGATTCAATTTGATTTCAGTTTCAATCAAACTGGACTAAAATACTATTTTGCAGTATAAATGATCTTACAAATCATCAGAATGATTCAGAGGTGTTGGAATAAATGATTTTATTTGAATTGTTGATTTGATTCAGAAAGTTAGTTCAGTTTAGAAATTCATTTGAATTTCTTTCAAATTAGATCTTGAAACTTAATAGAAATTTAATAGACTGGACTAGCTTTGGACAGCCTAAATAAAGAGAAAGGAGAAAAATTAGGGCAATACCCACAACTTTAGGATGAGAGTTAAAGGAATTGAGTATGTTTAGTTTAAAGAAGAGAAAATTAAGGAAAGACATGGCAACAGTTTTTCAATACCTGAAGGGCTGTAATAAGAAAGAGGACATGGGCTTATTTTCCATAATGGCCCAAAGTAGGACAAGAACCGGTGGGTGGAAGTTTTTTGGAAGGAAATCCAAATTCAAAAAGAGGAATTTCCTGAACATGAGAGCGGTTATGCGATGAAATAGCCTGCCTCCTGGAGGTCTGTGGACTTTATCACTGGAGGTTTTAAACAAAGGTTGGACAACCATTTGTCCAAGATGGTATGAAGATTTCTTGCCTGGGCAAGGAATTTGACTAGAAGATTTGAAGGTTCTTTCTAACCCCTGTGATTCTGTGAAGAGAAGATGGAGAAATGTTACCTGTAGAAAATTCTTTCACCTTTCTATTAAGTATTTTTGCCTTCCAGTTCAACTGGAAGGTCTAGCCAATCTCAACTTGCCCCTTCTTAGTGGGAACTAGAAGAAGTAAGCTTGGAAGGTGAAGGTTGGGGCTTGGTACATGGGAAGAATATTGATGAAAACTGAGTCAGAGAGCAGAAGAGAGATAGACAGAGAGAGCTTGGTGGGTTGGGGGGGGGAGGGGAATGTTATGGACATGGGAAAGGATACCCAAATCCTTAATCAAGCCAAGTCCAAAATAGCTGAACATCCAGCTGGCCTTTTTTTTTTTTTTTTAAATCTCATTTCTTAAGGCAGAGCCTTCAGCTTGATTATTTTTGGAGAAAGGATGTACAAAGAAGGAGAAGAACACTTTGCCTTTTTCACCAGCTTTAGACTTTTGTGTTCTTTTTCTGGCATTTTCCTCTCTTATATAATATAAATAAAATGATAAAAAAGTGAAAGGATTTTCCAGCTCATTTAAGATCCGAATACTTTGATATGTTTTTCTGGAAATCTTGAAAAATGTATACAATGAGTCAAGTTTGACTATTGATGATTTCATGATTTCATGCAGATCTTGGCCACATCTGGAAGACTTTGGCTACTACCCTCTTTTATTTTTTGTCTACTTCCTATCCTAGACTACAGTTTTAAATTTCCTGCTAACCTTCTTTCCAACACTAACAGACCTGAGTCTGCTTGATTTTTTGGGTGATCATCTGAGGTTGCAACCCTCAAGGTTGCTTTTCCTGCAGGGAGGAACTACCAGATTGCAAGAACACAAGCAAGCGGTCAGACGAGAAGACCCAAACTCACTGGTAGCCTCACACTGCAAGGGACAAGGAATTCAACATTGCAGCTACTAAGATTGTTGGACAAGCAGGCACAAAAACAGCCAGGGTAAAAGCCTCTCCTCAGTCAACAGGAATGCTGATTTACCACCAGCCTATCAAGTACTTAGAAGACAAGGGATGGGCAGCACAAACAAACTACAACTAATGACTTAAAGGCCAGCCATCAACACCCCAATCAACATCTAAAAAGCCACTTACAACAGGTACTATAAATACCACACGTAGAACAGCCCACACTCTGCTAGAGACAAGTTCCCTGAAGATGGGCTCCAGCATGAGTCTGAAAGCTCAGAAGACAAAGCCTCTCAGTGCAGTGACCAAGTCAGATAGGATCCTGCAACATTATCCTGGGACACATATATTTGCCTTCATTCCTTACTTTTTCTCCTTGCCAATATTTAAGATCGCATCCTGGAGTCTTTCTTCCTCTTCCTTCTTTTGCAAGAAGTACAATGGGCAAAAGCATTCTCAGATGGACCAGCCTCAAAGTTGGTTGCCATATCAGGATTTCTCTATCCTAAAGCACTTTGGTTTCTTCTGAATGTTTTATGACTTTGCAATACACACGGAGATTGATGATAAAATCTCATCAAGGCCTGCTAAAAGATTTCCTTTATCTGTTTTGGTTGGCTTGATTACACTGATTAGGGAAACACAGGAGAATTGCATGTGATGGGGATTAAATAATGCAATTAGCTTTAATAATTTCACTTAAAAATAAAATTAAACTGGAACAAAGGAAGTAAAGAGGAGAGGAAACGTCTGCTTACAGTTTTTCAGATAAACCGTATTTTTTCTCATTTACTCTCTTTCCTTCACCTTTGCAAAGCCAGAATTTAATAGCCAGATGATTGCATAGAGAAGATGTTAATCTACATAATGATTCTTCTTTAGAGCACCTTTCAATAAGGTGCTCTACTGAAAGCTAGATGTGGTTGCCCAATTTCATTCGATATCCTTTTGCCCTGTCTTCAGTGAGATACACTGATAATATACAAAGTTTTAAAAAAATATAACAAAATAATGCTGCAAAATAAGAAAAATAAAACAAAACAAACTTCCAACAAAAGTCATCAAAATACTAAAAACCATTTAAATGAATAAATAAACAAAAACAATCTGCAGGGGAGCAATTCAACCCCAACTTTAATTTAATTCAATTTCATTGGATGATTAGTGTAATAAGAATGGGTGAGGGGGGGAAAACTTTCCTATCATTTTTTTTACATTCCTCTCTATATTCCTCTGGTCTCCTGATTGCCTTCTAGGAAAGTCTATCCTTAAGGCTTCCTTTTTGAGATGCCCTTAATCAGACTCTTATTCAAAGAAATGTTGGACAGGACTTGAGGCCGTGGCATGTTCATTTTTATGATACACATGCAAAGTGCATAATACGGATATGAAGAAATAGGATAATGATATATGTTCAGAGGTTATGTCTGCATATAAAGGGGTTCATACAAGATATTAAGGCCAAATGTAATTTACCTACCTTTTGAAAACAGCCTGTGGGAGAGAATTTCCTGTGGTATTTGTCTATACTAAGGGTAAATGGAGGTAGTGACAGATTTTATCTTCCTGGGCTTCAAGATCACCAAAGATGGGGACTGCAGCCAAGAAATTAAAAGACGCTTGCTCCTGGGGAGGAAAGCTATGGCAAATCTAGACAGCATACTAAAAAGTAGAGACATCACCCTGCCAACAAAAGTACATATAGTCAAGGCCATGGTTTTCCCAGTTGCAACGTATGGCTGTGAAAGTTGGACTGTAAGAAAGGCTGAGCGCCAAAGAATCAAGGCCTTTGAACTGTAGTGCTGGAGAAGACTCCTGCGAGTCACCTGGACTGCAAGGTGATCAAACTGGTCAGTCCTAGAAGAGATCAATCCTAACTGCTCTTTAGAAGGCCAGATCCTGAAGTTGAAACTCAAGTACTTTGGCCACCTAATGAGAAGGAAGGACTCACTGGAGAAGGGCCTAATGCTGGGAAAGATTGAGGGCAACAGAAGAAGGGGACGACACAGAAGGAGGTGGCTGGATGGAGTCACTGAAGCAGTAGGCGTGAGCTTAAATTGACTCTAGAAGATGGTAGAGGACATGAAGGCTTGGAGGAATGTTGTCCATGGGGGTTGCAATGGGTCGGACATGACTTTACAACTGACAACAAGGGTTTTTTTGGTGAGATATTTTGGTTATCAGTGGCTTCCATTGTTAAATAGGAGAGATCATATATTACTGGCTGAAATTGCAAAGAGAAGTGCAGGTATTTTATCAAATATAAATTTTGACCTTTCTTCCAACAATGGGAAAAATGTCATCTACACAGCAATACCTTGAGAGGTCTCCAATTCACAGTGCCTCTTCATTTTTCTCTGCTCTACTTAGCTGTCAGTATTCTTCCTATCTTAGTATATATAGTATGACTATATACTAAAGTCATATAACAGCCTTGCTCAAAAGTCTCTTTAAAACCACTACAGGGACCTCATTTTTTGGATTCAAGAATATATTCGTTAAAACTATCAATCTAAGTCCACCCTTGTAGGTTTTAAGACAACGGTTTAATGTATTTGTCTAAGCTTTTTAATGAAAGCTCATTTTAGGTCACAAGCCTCATTATCCTCAGCCAGCATGACTCTTGGTTGCAGGAAGCCACCTTAATAGTGTGGACTTGTTCTTGGGACATTTACTGTACTTCTTCCTGCATTGTGCACATGATAGGAATCGGTTTTCTCTGCTGAAATAAATCTATCAACCTTTCACATTATCCCAGGGGTGAGCATACTGCCTTTGCAGTTTGTAAACCATGCCTAGTGTGGTATTTAAATCAAAGAGTGTCAGCCACACGCAGTCCCTTGATTTTTTTTTTTAATTGTTTGTGGAGACCAATCATGGTTTTGAAATTTGGCAGCAAAATGCTCAGAATTGGCAGCACAGTTATCTGTCATTTTAAAGGTTATTTGAATATTTTAAACCTGAGGATTGGCTAAAATACACAGCTAACTTGTTGTTCCCTGCTGTCTTGAAGCATCTAAAGAGCTATGGGGGAAAACACCAGAAAACGTAGGGCCTGTATTGTGTTAGGCCAAGGGTGGGCAATTTTCTGATGGGCAAGGGCTGTACTTAACATTGGTAAAAACCACATCATGCATGTTGGCAGGGCTCAGTTCCTATGTGGAGTTTTAAAATTGTGACTTATCTATTTTAGGGCTTATACTACTGTTTTTCCTGGGTTTCCTATCTCAAAGAAGCTTTTGGAAATCATAAGCAGAAAGGCATCCAAGGATCATGAAAATGTATCCCATATGGTATGTGCAGACCTAGGAATAAATTTTCTAACTTTATTATTATTATTTATTATATTTTACAAAATAACTCAGGGCACTAACATACCTAATACTCCTTCCTCCTCCTATTTCCCCACACAACGACAACCCTGTGAGGTGGGTTGTGCTGAGAGAGACAGTGACATATATCAAGACTCCAAGCAAGAGGTCTTGTTGAAATGGGACACTAGGAGGCCATTCCTTCATGATTTACCTGAGTTCCTTCCAAGAGGCTCTTCTGTTCATCTCCTTTCTGGCATTCAATCAGGCCAGTTACATCTCCTTAGCTTCCTTAGCTGGCTGAATAGCACAGGTCATCCTCTTCCCACAGCCCAGACCTCGCAGCCTGCTGGGCTGTGATGTGTTGAGACAGAACACTTAGCTGGTCTGGAAATTTCATTTAAATGTAAGTAACCTTTTCCCCTCCAGCAGTGACCTGCTCCCTATTAATTTGGCCAGGAGGATGCAAGTGAAGGAGAGACAAAATAGTTGTCTTCAAACAGTTGAACAATTGCTGTGGAGAAGATGGAGCAGACTTATCCTCTTTTACTCTGAAGGGCAGGGCAGGAAGAATTAGTAAAGAATTGCAGGCAAGCACATTTCAATTGCACATTAGGGAACACTTTCTAAGGAGACAAAGTGGTCAGCCATGGAACAGGTTACTTTAATAAAGTAATGCCCAATTTCTTTTCGGAATTATTTAAGCAGAGAATGGACAGTAATCAGTCACTCTCGTTACAGATCTTGCACTGAATATTGGATTCAGCTAGACAGTCTTCAAGTTTTTTTGAGCTTTTTGATTCTACAATATTAGGACACCCAAATTATTGGGTTGTTTCCAAGCTTTGTAAAATGCAAGGCAGTTTGATTGCTGTGCCCAATATAGGTGCCTGCTTGCTTAGCTGGATAACTTGGATAACCTTTCTACTTTGGGTGACATTGCTGGGAATACATATTCTTGGGGTACATTCTTTGCTCACCCCTCCCAAGAACTTCCGCACCACAATGAGGCAGCATGGCAGGATGGGTGGTTTGTGTGTATGTTTGTATGTGTAGGAATTTGTGACAACAACAAAAATGAACTGTAGAATACCAACTGGATAGGAATCGTTTTCAACATCCTCATAAACTCAGGATAAAGGAGGATGTTTCTTTTTTAAGTTTTTTCAAGGAGACAATTCCATTATTGTGGTGCCATCATTGAAAAGCTTCAATATTTCTATCAAATGACTTATTAAAGATAAATCAAGATATCATATGATGTTGATATTAAGATATATTTGACAGAACATGCCTGGTGACAGTGTATAGAATTTTATAAGTTCTACTTGTCACTAAGGAAAATTAGTACGAAGTAGAATGTTTTTTGAGGTAAAAAAAGCTGAGTCTGAAGTTTGCCTCTGGCCTTCCAAATCTGTGACGCTGTAAGATTTTACTGCTAAGTAACACCCAAAGGTCTGTATATAGTGTGTCACTGCTTAGATTTCCCTTTATTTAAGATAAACTGCCACCACCAACTGTTGTTCATGCAACAACTTCACAAAAATGTACTGATGCTCTGCTTCTTCCCAAATTCTTAATCCTAATCTTGATCTGTTTCAAATGCTGTTGCTGCTTCTTTGTAGTCAAAGCCTGCTTTTCTCCCTCCATTTTTCTCTTAAGCATCAACCCTGATCTCAATATATGACCACATATATTGAGATCAGTACAGAGAGAATATCCGAGACCGCAGAAAGGGATTCTCTGAAGTGGAACAAAATAGTCAGCCCTGAATGGGGACTTGGACTGGCATTTTCTCTTCTGTTGGCATGTTTAAAACATATTCCACAAGGCAAATCTGCATTGCAGCTTCTGTATCTCTTTTATGCTTGACTGTAACAGGACATTGTTAAAGGAAGGCAATTTTAATATCCAAGGGGAGGAAGATGGGAGGACTTCCATGGAATTGATAGTGGAATGCATGTCTGTTTTCTGCTCTCTTTCCCAGCTCACCCTTAACATATTTTTTTCTTTAATAAAAGCAGTTTGGTAACTAATATATGTGTTCTTTCATAACCCAGATTTACAGTTATGCCTCCAATCCAGAACCTCATTAATGCTCCATGCATGGAGCTTTTCACAGGGTAAGCTAGACTTGGTCACTTTCAGTTGTTGTAACTGTTGTTGCTGTTGTGATACTGTCATTTGTGCAATTTGTCTCAGAATGGAATGTCCATCCAAATGTGTGTGCATTTATATTTTATTTTTACTTATTTTTTTTTCATTTAAAACATTTATGTGGCTACTCAGCTAATTCAAAACTCTGGTGGCTTCCCCAATGCAGCCCACACCGCTCTCCTTCCACTCTGATTTCACCCTATCCCAGCACCTGGGGGAAAAGCCAGGTCTTAAGTGCTTTCTGGAAGGTTAAAAAAAGGGGGGTTCCTAGATCTCAAGGGGAGGAGTATTCCATGGGGCAGGGGCTGCAACAGAAAAGGTGTTTCTGAGGTTCTGCAAGATGGCAATATTTAAGGGAAGGGACTTGGAATTTACCTACCATATCCAGTATAGTGGGATGAGAGCAGTGATGGGATTCAAATATGTGAACAACCAGTTCTCTGTGTGGATGCCACTTCTGGAAGTCCATTCTGGGCTTGGGCAGCAAAAAAATTAGCTACCGGTTCTGCCAAAGTTGTGCGAACTGGCTGAATCCCACCACTGGATGGGAGATAGGAAGAGACAGTCCTGCAAATAACCTGGCTCTCAGCCATGTAGGGTTTTAAAGATGATAACCAGCACCTCAAATGGTGTGGTGCGACATGGAGGTGCTCTACATGGTACTTACTGCTGTATTCTGGACTAGTTGCAAATTCTGAGTAGTCTTCAGGAGTAGCCACATGAAGAGCACATAACGTTAGTCCAAATGAGCAGTGACCAAGGCCTCCTGGTTCAGAAAAGCAATTGTTACACTAGACGAATCTGTGCAAAGACCTCCCCCATAGCTATGGCTGACATCTGCTCCTCGAACATAAGCCAAGAGTCTAGGAAGACCCTAAATTTTGCAACAGCTTTTTGTGCCATCCTGTACAGGGTCAAAGATGTCATGTCACCAGACCTTGGGAGAAAAAAACCCTCAACAGTCACTCCATCTTGTCAGAGTTGAGTCAAAGTTGTCTTCCCCAAATCCAGTCCCTCACAGGCTCTAGGCACTTGGTCAGCATCACAACAATATCATCTGCCCAGCATGGGGCAGAGTAGTATAAATGGGCACCATCAGCATTCTGATGATACTACACCTTGTGTCACTGAATGACCTTGCCCAACAGTTTCATGTAAATGTTAGAGAAGAGGAGACAGGCTGAGCCCTGAGGCAGCAAGCTTTGCAGATACTGTAGGTCTCTTGTCTTTCCCCTGTCACATGCTGACTTGAAGCAGCCAGAGAGAAAGGAGAACCACCAAAGACTGCCTCTTAACCCCCAAAGCTGATCCAGAAGGACACCATAGTCGATGTTATCAAAAGCCGCTGAGTCTTTACAAGCATCAGGATCAACTCGTAACACATTTCTTGGGCTGACTGCTGCTCCTTGACTGTACCTTTTCGATCTGACAGAAATGAATGATGAGAATTACATTTCAAACTGGTCTTTGACTTACTTGTTATTGTAAAATGAAGGGATATCATAATAATGCTGTACGTTTTATTTTTTCCTTTCGTTTAATCCTACCTGAGCCAACAAAGGTCATTATTCCCCATCTCAGTGGGCGATTGGCAGTGGCAGCAGTATTCCAAAAACAAAAAATAAAAATCAAACACTATATTTGGGACCAACAAACATTGATGCAACTATTCCTGCTTCCTGCACCTTACTCTGGTGCAGGAGGTCAAGAAAGTGAGACCCATCATTTTTGTCCTTGGAATTTGGCCACCACAATCTTTTCTCCTGTCTGAGGAGTCCAGAACACATGGCTTATGAAATCACATGCTTTCATAAGAATGGTCGGAGGAAACATTTTTTTATTCTTTTTTAAAATTTTATTTTCAGAGGATTGAGGACATTTAAAGAGTAAATATTGTCCTTTAATGTTCATCTCTTTTTGAGTGGACTTAAAGTACTAATGACATCCTATAAATCCTGCCCAACTGCCTATATTCAAAAATATCCTAACTTGTTAGTTTTGCCCATTTTGGAGATCATAAATGTGGATTTAGAGGGGGGGGATGTCATATGGTAAACAGATTGCATGTGGAACCATAATGCAGAGCGAGGCTGCCTGGGACAGGCAAAAAGGTCAGGGCCCCCAATGGTTTGACTCTGGATCCACAGGAGATAAATATTCAATGCCACTTGAAGCATCTGGGGGCAAATAATGTAGGAATTTCCAAGCTTAAATTTCATTTTTTTTCCCATTTCTGTGTTATATAAAGAATTAGTTGGTTGGCTTGCATTTTAAGCAGACATGGAGATTCATGTTTCAATATTGCTCCATAGATAAGAATCTTTGTATATAAGCCAGCCTAATGTGTAAGCTTTTGTTATGGCATCTTTTTTTCTAAATGCAATTTTGTATATAACTTTTCCTTATACTTACTTTTGGGCACCTTTTTCCTCTAATGTGTCATTTTTGCACAAATCTGAGTGAAGAACAACATGGCAACTCTGAAGAAACACACATAGTCTAATTTTTATTCCAATGGTAATCCTGTAGATGTTAAGCTCTTGAAGCCATAAAATCAAGAGAGGAGCAAAAAATGGGCTCACATCTGAGTTAATGTATAGGTAGTCCTCAACTTACAACCATTTGTTTAGTGATTGTTCAAGGTTACAACAGTACTTTAAAAAGTGACGTGACCATTTTTCACATGACCTTTGCAATATTCTCATGGTCACGTGATCAAAATTTGGACACTTGGCAATTAGCATGTGTTTATGAGGGCTGCAGTGTCCTGGGGTCATGTGATCTTTGGTGACCTTCTAACAAGCAAAGTCAATGGGAAAATCAAATTCACTGAATAACCATGTTATTAACAACTGAAGTGATTCACTTAATGACTATGGCAGGAGTTTGTAAAATGGGGCAAAATTCATTTAACCACTGTCTTGCTTAGAAATTTTGGGCTCAGTTGTGGGCATTAGTCAAGGACTACCTGAATTATCTAGCTAGTGCTGTTTCACACAATCACACCATCAATTAATCTTGACAGGCACATGGAAACATGAACCCTATTGGTGTTATTGTTGGTAAGAAGAGCTGAAGATATCTTAATAAACAGAAGCAAATATTCCTTCACTCTGCTGGACAATGATTTAGATCAGTGGTGGCGAACCTATGGCATGCGTGCCAGAAGTGGCACTCAGAGCCCTTTCTGTGGGCACACGCATCATTGCTCCAGCCCCACCTCACCCCATGGCCCCCTCCTCACCAGCAGCCCCCCCTGGAGGAGAGTTGCCCCCAGGTGCAGCCCATGCGGAGCAGCGCAGCCAAGGATATGGCAGCCGGGCAGTAGGGACAAGACTCCACCCTCACACCCCGTTGCATGCAGATGATGCTGTGGGATGCAGGCGGAGGGCATGGCTGCCATGGTGCTGCAGGGCTGTCTGGGTGATCTGCTGCAGCAGGCCATGGAGGTGGTGGGTGGCCCTGTGGGCAGGGGGAAGGGTGGTTTTTTGGCACTCCGTCTCTAAAAGGTTTGCCATCACTGATGTAGATATTTGCCTCTGCTAAGTGAAGTTCCTTTTACAGTATATTTTATAGAAATTAGAATGCAGAAACAAAACCTATTCCTTCTCCTTTGCCACCCTTTTGGCTGAGTTGAATGAACATATCATTATGCCCTTGTTTCTATTCTCTGTTGCCCTCTTCTAATTTACAAAAGAAATGTGCCATCCTGATAGTGTAGCCTGCACCAAATCAATGAAATATTCTGAGTTTACTATTTACTAAGCTTTCAAAGCAGTGTGTGTAAATTCTTTCACTTTAATTATATACTTCAAGGATGTATGAACCCTCCCCCCCCAAAAAAACCCATTGTAGGGAGGAGGGGAATCAATTAGACAGAAAGCCACCTCTTTGCCAGAAAAAGGAGAAGGGAAACCTATTAAACCAGTAAACATTTATTTTCAGCTGGAAAATCTGCTATTAATTCATATAGTGACTTTCCCAACTGAAATAATGAGTCACGCTGAGCGACCTGAACATTAGCAGGGAATAAAGCAAAGCTGTATGGGAAGAGGGTAATATTTTTAGGGAATGTTCAGAAGAAATGCTTTTTCTTCTCAAAGAATTCTGATATCAAATATATGCCAAAGGTTCTTTGAAATAACCAGATACTTACAAAGTATATAATCTCTGTACTTATAGTAGCCACTGATATTTGATTTCAATTCTCTCTGACAGTAAAGGTTTATGAAAACTGACTTGCAATGACATATATCATCTGGCATCATTTGACAGGTAACATGCAATGGAATTTGATATCAAACCCGGATAGTACTAAGTAGCCTTGTAAACCCCAACATAGGCATCTGATATAAACCTTGAGGATAAAAAAATGATGAAGCCTCACACCGGACACAAGTACGTATCAATAGAGGATAATATTTGTAGCTCAGGACTGAACTGTGATCCTTGTTGCTCTCTGAGCTTGCAGATGTTTCATTGCCCAACTAGGTAACATCTTCAGGTGACATCTTCTAATCTTAACCTTAACCTTAACTCTAACCTTAACACTGACAGGGCAACCAATGTATATTAACACAGCAAACTCCCTTCTAGCCCTGAAGATGTTACCAAGTTGGGTAATGAAATATCTGCAAGAAAACAACCAAGCTCAGAGAGCAACAAGGACCCCACAGCTGCCTGTCTGTCACATAGTTTGCCTCATTGATGCCATAACACTTGATTTATCCTCCATTGTCCCTTTGCCAATGAACCATATTTTTGAGTATTTAACATATTTTAAGTATAGTATATTTTGTATATTTAAGTATATAAGTATATTTTGAGTATAGTAACATATTTTTGAGTATTCAGCCGGTACCGAATATAGTTGTAGAATGCCATTTTCAGGAGTAGCCATGCTGAAATACCTAAGAACAATTTGGTTGGAGCAGGCCAAGGCTGGTATTAGTTCAACATTTTGCTTCTTTCTGTGGGCAACCATGGCTTCTACAGTACTCATAAATAAGAGATAAAATAGATATACTTTCCCCTAACCCTAGCTTAGAACTTACACTATCTACAGCGACAAATGCTAAAATTTGACCATAGCAGCATTTTCTGGAATGCATTGGCTGAATCAATAATAAACAATCAGATTCTGGAATGTATCTGGCAAGAGGCATGACTGGAGGAAGGCCCAGGAGAAGCAGCTGTTGAAGAAGGATCATTCCCTAGATCAGTTACTTGTGCACAATGGTAGAATCAGGCACCACATATTAAGTCCTTGGAGAAGCTGGAACTGTTTCTCAGCAAGGATGCTTCTGAGACTAGAAGCTAAGCCCAATGAAGAGAGAGTCAAGGTGAGGGTGAGGATGTGGAGCCCAGAGAAAAGATGATTGGAGATATGATTTCATGCTTTTAATTCCTTGAAAGGACGTCACCTTCTCTTTTCTCTCATTCTAGAACATAGTATACAGAATAATGGATTTAAGTGAGAAGAAGTAGATTCATCTGAATGTTGGAGCTAAACCTCCTGACAGAAACAGTTCAACAGTGGAGCCAGCTCTTCGGGAGAAGGTGGGTTTTTCATTCATTGTGTTCATGTAGGGGCTGGATAACCATCTATTCAGGATGCTTTAATCTGGACTCCTGTACAAAGCAGGCAGTTGGACTGCATGGTTTAAATAGACCTTGGCAATTTTAAGATTGTAATGATCCTAGGTTCCATGTACTTTTTAAAACTAAATTTGCCATCACATGTTATTAACCAGACAATAGCATCATTAAGCAATAGCTAACACAAGTCTCGTGACCGATCGGTATGATTAACAATTCACATCACTAATACATCCAGTTCTTCAGCCTACGTAATGTTCTGATCCCTAATTTATATAGGCTAAAATATCTGCTTGTCAGATTTTTGTAGGTTCCCCAGACCCAAAGTTTAAATAGTTAATTTACTAGATATAATACAGAGAAATAAAGTATTTTGACCCCACAGCCAGATGGACTGATGAATAGAAACTTGCAAAGTCGGTGATCGGTCTGCATTTTACTTACCTGGGAGAAGATGCAGCTTTTTTTCTTTGTATTAATTGAGCAGCTGCTCTTTCAAAATCCAGACATTAGCCTCCAGTCCCTCTTTTGCCAAATAGATGTTAACAAGCACATCATATTGGGCAGCCCTGAATATATGAATAAGATGGATACAAAAACATTCAACCATTCCCTGTTTCCTAGGTTCTTCTATATGAACAAGCAATGCCCTATTAATTTTGATAGACAAGGTGGCACTTAGCCATTTGAAAATCCAACATGGGATAAAGTTATGCAGCCCTGATTGTTCTTACAACTTTTTTTTTTCTTGAGACAGGGAGGAAGGTGAGTATTTGGAAAGGTTTTTTTAAAAAAGGAGAACAGCCCAACTGACCAAGCGCTTTGTCAGCCAGTTTGTTCAACTCTGCATGGCTGTTCCAGTATTTCTCAGCCACCCTGCTGTGTTTTTAATGCTGCCCATCACAGCTTCCTGGAGCCCCTCCTCTGCAATTAGACAGAGTCAACATAGCAACTGTTTTCAGAACAGCTTGAAGCTACCTGCAGCCATCAGCGCCACCGACTCAAGAATGTGTGGAGTCAAACCTGGTTGCTGAATGTAAGACCAGCTCCACTTCAATTTTATATTAGGATCACAGCAATTTATTGTATGCATGTACACACCTGCTGATGTATGTCTAAAATGATGCTCTGCATAACCCTGAGCATATTTGAAGACATTGCAGGAAAATAGAAAGGAGGCTGGCAAAAGCAAAAAAAAAAAAAAAAAAAAAAATGCTGCAAGAAGTCAGCTTGCAACTAGGAAGCAGTTTCCATGCCTACTGCAGCCTGTGCTAAAGAATGTGCTGCCTGCCAGGCAGAACTCAATGAAAAAGATGATGGTGTATGTGGGGGGGGGGGCAGGGCAGGGCAGGCAATACTCCTTTGGATGGGAGGGTGTGGAATCTGAGATGGAGGCCTTCCTCTGGAAGACTTCCCTCCCCAATCTGGGCAATTTGCAAACACACCAAAATTCAGTGGCATGTGATCAAGTCTAGGTGGAATGCAGACATCGGTTTGGGTCTTCAGAAATTGCAGTTGCCCAAGGAAAAAGGGGATTCCTTAGGAGAAAGAAAAGAAAGAAAGAAAGAGAGAGGGAGAGAGAGAGAGAGAGAGAAGGAAGGAAGGAAGGAAGGAAGGAAGGAAGGAAGGAAGGAAGGAAGGAAGGAAGGAAGGAAGGAAGGAAGGAAGGAAGGAAGGTAGGTAGGTAGGTAGGTCTCTGGGGGAAAAATTATTAACTCACCACCTGTTGCAACACTTGTCTGTAATAATATCCCGCCAGAAACCTATGTAGCTCCTATCCTGATAGCCTTCTGAAAAATGGTTATTCCCTCAGGCCCTCGAGAAGGATAGTTAGTGAATCCCTGTACTGTAAGATCTTGTTTTGTTTGTTTTGCTCATAATGATTCTTATTTTTCTGGACACAAACTTTTTTGTTCTGTTATTTTATTACCTAACTTTGGAGTCAGCTATTATTTAAATCTGTGTCACACAATTACGTGCCTTTCTTTGTTCTCATTTACAGTAAGTAAGTAAGTAAAGTAAGTAAGTAAATAAGGAAGGAAGGAAGGAAGGAAGGAAGGAAGGAAGGAAGGAAGGAAGGAAGGAAGGAAGGAAGGAAGGAAGGAAGGAAGGGGATGGGAAAAAAAGTGATAGGGAGCAGATGTTCTGCAGAATTCTAGGATATCAAAGGGAGAGTACTGAAAAGAAAAGTGTTGCAGAGAGTACTGAAAAGAAAAGTGTTGTTAACAACTTACTGAGCTGTTAAAAATGAATATGAATATAATAGAATAGAGCTGGAAGGGACCTTGGAGGTCTTCTAGTCCAGCCCCCTGCTCAAGCAGGAGAATCTATACCATCTCAGACAAGTGATTGTTTAGCCTCTTTTTAAAAATCTCCATAATTTCTGAAGGCAAGCTGTTCCACTGGTTAATTGTCCTCACTGTTAGGAAGTTTCTCCTTAATTCCAGGTTGTTTCTCTTTTTGGTCAGTTTCCAACCATTGTTTCTCATCCTTCCCTCTGGTGCTTTGGTGAATAACATGACCCCCTCTTCTTTGTGGCAGCCCCTCAAATACTGGAATACTGTTATCATGTCTCCCCTATTTGTTCTTTTCTTTAGACTACCAAACCCAAGTCCTGCAACCGTTCTTTGTATGTTTTAGTTTCCAGGCCTTTGATCATCTTAGTTGCTCTTCTCTGAATTTTTTCCAAACTCTCAACATCTTCTTTGTGATATGGTGACCAAAACTGGCTGCAGTATTCCAGGTGTGGTCTTACTGGAGTTTTATAAATCAGTACTACCTTGTGTGATCTTGATTCTATGCCTCTGTTTATACAATCCAGGATTGTATTAGCTTTTTTGGTTGCTGCAACACACTGCTGGTTCATGGTTAAGTGATTGTCCACTAGAACTCCAAGGTCCCTCTCACATTTACTGTTTTTAAGCCAGGTCTCACCCAATCTGTACTTGTACCTTTAATTTTTCCTACCTAAATGTAAAACTTTGATTTTCTCTACTTTGAAACTCATTTTGTTGGATAGGGCCCATTTTTCAAATTTGTCAAGATCTTTTTGGATCCTGAGTTTGTCTTTTGGGGTGTTGGCTACTCCTGCCAGTTTGGGATCATTTGCAAATTTGATGAGTTCCCCTTCAATTCCCTCATCTAAATAATTGATGAAGATATTGAAGAGTACTGGGCCTAAGACAGAACCTTGTGGTACCCCATTGCTTAATTCTCTCCTTGTGGATATAGTGCCACTGAGGACTACTTGTTGAGTATGATTTGCCAGCCAGCTACAGATCCATCTGGTGGTGATGTTGTCTATTCCACCTTTTTCTAGCTTACCAAGAAGTAGGTTGTGGTCTACTTTATCAAATGCCTTACTGAAATCTAAGTATACTACGTCCACAGCATTTTGCTGGTCTATTTGTCACTTTGTCAAAGAATTAAATAAGATTGGTTTGGCATGATCTGTTTTTAACAAACCTGTGCTGACTACTAGTTATAACTTTGTTTGTTTCTAGTTGTTTGCAGATCTGTTTTTTGATTATCTTTTCTAGGACCTTCCCAGGTATTGATGTTAAACTGATTGGTCTGTAGTTTCCTTGGTCTGTTTTTTTCCTTTCTTGAAGATGGGAACCACATCAGCTCTTTTCCAATCCTCAGGTACTTCCCTGATGCTCTGGGATTTTTGAAAGATGTGGTTCTGAGATAACATCTGCCAACTCAGTGGTGGGATTCAGCCAGTTTGCACCAGTTCAGCAGAACCGGTAGCTAATTTTTGTTGCCCAAGACCAGAATGGACTTCCAGAAGCGGCATCCACACAGAGAACCGGTTGTTCACATATTTGAATCCCACCACTGTGCCAGCTCCTTCAGAATTCTGGGATGTAATCTGTCGGTCCTGGTGATTTATATTTGCCAAGGTCGGATAGGTGTTCTCTTACCATTTTCTTGCTTATTTTAATTTTTGTTTCTAATTTGTCTTTGAAGTGGTTTTTTGGGTATGTTAGGCTATAGTTTCTTTTTGTGTAAAGACTGATGCAAAGTATGAGTTAAGCAGTTCTGCTTTCTCCCTATTGCCTGTTATTTCCTTGCCATCTTCTCTCTTTAGTGGACCTACAGTTTCCTTGACTTTTTCCTTGTTAATATGTTGGAAGAAACTTTTTTTAGGAGGAAGTTTTTCCTTTGGCTTGATTTTGGGGGTGGGGGTATTAGAATAGGCAAGCCTCCAGGCTAATACTGAGCTTTTTTTCATTTAAATGGGCACCAACAATAAGATCTCAGCAGCTTGGTGGGAAGATTAGGTAGGGTTGAGGAAGCTGGGGCAGCTATTTTGCAAGAAGCATGGACTTTTCAGACTGGTTTTTGTGGGAGAAATGGAGTTGTGTTCTTACATCAGCTCTGTTGAAATATAAGGATTGAATGGTCAGCTCTGCTGCAAATATAGAGATACATCGGCATTCTATAAAATCTCTACTGCAGGAAAGTAAAGTAGTAATTCAGTAATTAAGACAAAGAAGATGTAACACCAGAGGTCCCATTGGAATGATGTAGATTTAACCCCTATCCTATTTACAGCTGTCAGAAAAGGAAATTAGGAGATAATGATGATCACCTTAACTCTCCATTGGATCTTCTCTCCCATTTATCTCCCATATCATAGATAATGATGATTAGCAATGGATTTTGAGGACAAGCAAACAGCTTCAGAAAATTTTGGGAATCCTGACCATCCTGCCATCACTTGGATAAAAAGAGAACATTACTAGCCTTCCTCAAGCTTAATTTCCACAGAAAGGGATGCCTGGATTCTCTGCAATCTGGTGCAAGATCATTTGTTTAAAATGAGAGGGAGAGAGAGAGAGAGAGAGAGAGAGAGAGAAAATCAACCCTGCCATTTTGTTGCAAATGTATCAAATAATAATAACATACACACACCTCCCTGAATTTTAAAGGCATTGAAATTGGGCTGCCCATGC